TGGGCTGAGTAATGCTTTCTCTAAATATTTACTTCTCAACCTTTTCTTATGTAAATCAACCGAAACGACAATACCACGAGCTGTTTATTCAGAAAGGCACCTCGGCTGCGCTGACTTTCGCTCAGCAGGAGCCACAGCCAAAGATAAAGCCATGAGCTCGGGGGTTCTGGCCATCAGAAAATGCCTCTAAAATACAGGTATTTTCTTATCATGCTGCTATAAAAATCGTCAGAAAAGCAAAAACTGCCATATGAAGAGATATTGTGTATGACTCTTGAGCCATTCTGTGGCAGGGCAAGGACTGTGTGCTTGTTCTCATTCTATTGAAAACTGCCAGTATGTTGGCATTTTAAATTGTGTTATAACATGAGGTAGGTGTGGGCCCAAAGTAGTCGTATATGCGAATGAAAGCTAAAGATGGGAAAATGGTGAGCTTACAAAAAGCAGAAAGCACAAGGCTCCCCTAGAAAATCAATAGGGTGTCGCTGGGACAGTTGGCTGCTTTGCAATGCAGAACACTACTGCAGCTTGTTTGTTTGTTTTTCTTTCTTTTTTTTGTCCCGAAGTTGGTTCTTGACGTTTCTGGGTTGTGCTATCTGGCCCTTACACTCGAATGAGTTTGAGACCGCTGGATTAGACTTATCAATAGTAGGTTTCAAATAATTTGAGTGTCATATTTAACTAGGGTGACAAGATATTCCGTTTTGGTCGGGAGGGTCTCGTTCTAGAGATTTACTTCTGTTGCCCGGTCATTTTGTCTCAATGAAGCCTTGTCTCAGTTTCAATAAAATGTGCATTGTTGCGAAGTGCAAGGGGAAAAAAACTCGTTTACTTGGGGAAAATATAATTTTATAAAGATAAGCATACTATGGAAATGTTACCTCTCACTGAGTGCAGCTTTGAGCTTTTTCATTGGTTACACCTCCACTGCATTCGTTTTGCTCGTGTAGACATGAGACACTTTCCATATTACTGATGTTGGCAGCATTTCTTCCCCATTGTTTAAAAATCGGGAAGAAAGACACTTGTGTTTTGAAAGGAGAGCTCTGAACTGAAGAGTAGCAGAGATTTTCTTTCTGCATCACTTCTGGCCCGTGTTCTATGCAGGTTTATGGTCACCCCCTGTTTAGCGTAAAAATAAACTTTAAGGAATGGCTTCATTTTGGTTTAAGCTTGGTATGATGGCACTTCACTCATTGAACTATAGTTTTAGGGCAAGGAAGAAATGGTGAAAACATAAAACAGAGGAAAAACTAATTTGAAGATTTAAACAGTGTCACTTCAGATAATACTTGTGACTTTATCTAATATGTTATAGGTGCATAGATTATCCCTTCACTTGAATGAAGACATTACAGATTTCAATGACATTCACAATACATGACTATCTGGTGACTTTGTGACTGGATATCCATCTCCAAAAGATCTTGCTCAAAACCCCAGCTTGAACTGTCGCACCCCAATAGTCGCAGCAAACTCTTCAGTCATGCGGGAGGCAAACCCTACCTTGGGGAATTCCTTCCACACTATGCTCCGTTTCATACTTAACGTACAACGCTGTCAAAGCTGCTGGCACAAGCATGGGGCTTGATCTCCTTGACGCATCTGCACGCATTCTCGCACAAATGAAACCGCAGATGAATTACGCGCTCGAGCCAGTAGCTTTGACAGCGTGGCATACTAAGTATGAAACGGAGTATTGGGCATTGAAGGATACAAGAAGCTGCACACAAAATTAGATGCCAAAACACCCTTTCCTCTGAGAAGTGCCTCTCACTAAAGGCACTCTGAAAACGTCAAGTTTACGCAACTGTGCACCTCTTTGGCAAGCATATTTGGCCACTTGCACTTAAAATGTAATTTATTTCACAGTAAATACTTGTAGGGATAAATCTTTTTGACAGCATCTTTGAAAAGGAAAACTATAATTTTTAGGTAGTGTCCCCCTTAATTTAACGAGTTCAGCTAGGTTTTTCATTTAAGAAATAATAATTACCCAATATTAAAAAGCTGTATTAAAAAAAAAAAACCTGAAAAGATTTTTTTAAACAATCTGGTTGAAACATGCATGTTGAAATTAATTTTGTGCAAAAACAGTTTTTTTAGAGCAATATTGATGGCGCAAGACGCGATTTAGTCGGTAGTCGCCTCCTTTGCACTTGTTTTCTCTCTCGGCATTTCGGCCGTGTGGTGGAGAGGTGGATTGGCTTGGCCATTTCGTTGAGGTAGAAAGAGTGTATGACCATTTTGTGATGTCATGGACTTTGTGCGCAAAATTTAAAATAAATCTTGCACCGTCAATATTGCTCTAAAAAATAATTTTCGCTTAAAATTTATTTCTTAACACGCGTGTCCCAATCAGACTGTTTAAACGAAACATTCTTTTTTCTTTTCAGGGCCCCTTTAAGTGAGGTTGTCATTGAAATACATGATGAAATGACAAAGCCTTTATTTTTAACTGAATTAAGGTTTTACATATTTATTGCAAGCTTTATAACTTGGGACAGTACAATCAATTCAATATTTCAAATTATTACTTTAAAATTATATCAGTAGACCACTATTTGGTTAATTTTTTTCTTCCTCCCTAAACCTGTCGTTTGCTGACGCTATGCCTTCCATAAATCGGAAAAGGTGGTAGCTACAATAGGAACTCAAAAACCAAAAAGGTGGCCTTTGCCGTAAATTTTTATTTCCCCTGTCTGGTCTTAAAGGGAAGCTACGGAGCTTCTTGAAAAAAATGAGTTAGAAGTGAATTCTAGTATATTTTTACCCCGTGAACCCAAATACCCAAACCATTTGCTCCGCAAGTATTGTTAAATGCGAGAAAACGCGAAAGACAGTCGCTGTATGTGACGTTATCGACGGATCGTTTGGCTGCTCAAGGCTACGGAGGCGGGGCTTCAGCCCTATTTTGAAATTGCTCTTATGGCTCTCCAGCGCGTCACATTGAAACAAAATTGTGATATCTGTTTTTCTGACGGCCAAGTCTTCCCTTTAAAGGGGCACAAGTCACTTTCTGCAATAGTACATTTATGGTCATAACTCAATCTATGGGCTCTAAGCATCCTAAAAAAAAAACATTACATTAATGCATGGCCAATTTCTCTGTTAAGATCGGTGTCAAAAGATTGATTGATTACCTTGGTACTGTCACAGACGAGAGGGTGCTGTCGCATGAGGAAAGGCAGGGCTCTGGCCTTCCTTGTCAGTTGGTGCCATGTGGTGTCAATCTTTTGATACCTTTTGTCAAAGAGAAATTGGCCACGCATGAATGTAATGATTGGTTTTTTTTAGGATGCTTAGAGCCCATAGATTGAGTTATGACTAGAAATAGATACTAATTGCAAAAAGTGGTTTGGTGCCCCTTTAAGCTCAGCTAAACAGCTGTTTGAGTGTTTGAGGTTAATTACATTGTCTGGTGTACCATGAATGCTAGTGAATGGTTGCTCAGGGAGTGGGAAAGCAAAGAAGGCATTCTGCTTTTGTAGATCGTGCCAATGCACAAGCCTTAAGTGAGTAGTATCCTTGGTAGGACAAATGGGAATGAGGGCATTCCAGAAGTCGTTCTGGTTTAAATGGGGGGTGCAACAATTTCCGGACTTCGGTCAAAAATTTGTGGAAGTTGCCCTCTGACACTTCTGAAGTAAAGAACAGAAAACCGATTTCGCCTGCATCTCCCAGTTGTTGTGCAAAAAAGAAAAAAAAAAAAAGAAAGACAAATATTGTCATTTTTGGCACCTCTCAACTCACTCCCAGTCTTCAGGGTCACACCTGGTCACACTGCTAGTGACGTAATTCAGGGTGCCGTGTAGGTTCCCATGTGCTCTCTCCGAGGACGCTTCCTCTCCCTCTCTCTGCTGACATTAGCGGGCGTTACGCTGTAGCTTAGAGCTGAGCGAGGTCACGTAAGCTTCTCGCCGTAGTTCCTTCGGCTGCCACTCGCGGCTGCAGGTGGGGAAAAAAGCTTGACTTTTGCTTTACAATTATGCAGCAGAATTCATGCCTGCCAACTCTTCCGAATTGTCCGGGAGCCTCCCGAATTTTGATCACATCTCCCAATTGTACGGACGCAACCTCAATCTCCCAAAAAGTATCCGCAACTGTTTTTTTATTTTTTTTATGTCGCCTTATTGCTATAATCATGACGCATGTGTCATTGCGAGTTACTCGCGAGTATGTTTAGGTTACTCCGGCGGGTTACCACGTGACAACTCGGAGCACTAGCGAGGGTAAACGAGGGTAGATTTTCAAACGCCAAGGTATGAAACCTCTACTCCTGAAGTTAGAGCGCATTTTGGAACACGGATTATATGACCATGGGTGCGCTAGGCTTCAGTTGGCTTTGTCAGGTCGTCGAGTGAGTTGCGGAACGCCGAACTGCTCTTTGCGTTTCCCCGAGTTTAGTTGGAACCACTGATCTGTTTGAACGGTCGATGGCACTTTCAATACCCAAGAAGTACTTGCAAGTATTTCTGAAATCATACGCGACTGAGTTTCCGTGCTTTGTCGCTTCGCGGAACGCTGACAAGTATGGATTCTGTACCATGTGCGCCTGTGATGTGTGAGCGTTTCGCACGGCAGCAAGCTTGACATCAAGATACGCATCGCTTCATGAAAGCATCAGAACCATGCTCGTGCCGTAGAAGCGCAGTGCACCACCGGCAGTTTACTCCAAAACAACTGCGAAAACAGTGTGATTCGCACAGAGTGCCTCTTTACGGGGTTTCTTGTCAAACAAAAAAAATTATAATAATGTTTCACCCCCCCCCCCCCCCCCCCCCCCGCGTGGCGGTCTCCCGAATTCTTATGTTGCTAGGTTGGCAGGTATGGGAATTGCAACATTTCCTAATGAAAATGTTTTTTCTATTCTCCGGGACACGATAAACGACGTAAAAATGACGAAATGCAAACTCTTTTAATCTTAGTCGGTGCACCCCGCCCTTTAGTACCTCAGATGAATGGCACCACTGAAGTTGCCTTTTTCCAATTGTTTTGTGTTCTGTTCTTGCAGCTTCAAGGATACGGTATGAAATCACCCAGGGCAACATAGGAGGTGCATTTGCAGTAAAGAATGAGACTGGAGCCATCTTCGTGGCTGGTCCATTGGACTACGAAACCAGGAAAGAGGTAGGACAAGACCCCCAATCTTTAAATTGCTTTTGCCTTTTTTGGGGTATTTATGACCTCTCTTATATGTTTTATTCTGTGGGAGGACAACTCCAAAATTTTCACTTGGGAAAAGGGTAGCCCACACCTTTATTATAACCTAGTTTGCTTATTTTGAGCAGTGTCTCGATCAAATCTGTTAGTTTCTGTCAGCATATTCGGCCTCTGTTGCTCCTAATATTGGCAAATTACAACAAAAATTTTTTTAATTTCACATGCAAGTACGCTGGCTTCTAGATAAATGTACCAGCCTATGAATCCTTGGTTGGGAGTTTCTAAACCTGACCGAGGTGCTCAGAATCTGACGGAAGGTGATGAGGAAGCTGATGAGGCACCACGTAACCGAGACATACACGGTACATTTAAGGTCCCCAAGGGTTCTAAATTGATCCTCATTCCTTCACTGAGGCATTCGAGATGCCCTTCATTGGTTTAGCACGTTAACTCATGTGCAAGTATGGTTGTTATTTCCTTTTGGCTTAATTCTGTTTGTAACTTGTAAGGTTTTCACAATGGGGTCTACATGGACAGGCTCATTTCCTTGTTTCCATTTTGCATTGCCACTTGTAACTTTCTTTTTTCTCGAGCTTGTCACCTCCATGGCAGTGGATGTGCGTGCCATTCCTTGTAGTTTCGACTGCGCCTGGTTGCATCAGACAACCTCAACGAGAATCACACGACAGTGCTCATCAAAGTCAAGGACGTCAACGACAACGCTCCCATCTTCGACCGGCCTACCTACGAGGCCCAGATTACGGAAGAGAATGACCGGAATCTCCCCCAGAAAATCTTACAGGTCAACCTTGGTGTTACCATCTGTGTCATCATTCTGGCTGCATATGCACGTGTTAATGTGCTGACGACTTGTTCCCTTTTTTTTTTTTTTTTCTCTGGTGACTTTTCACCTTGTTGTGTTGAAGGCTTTTGTTGCTTTCAGGCTTGAATCACATTTCTGCAAGGCCTCGTTCCCAATACCAAGAAGTTTTTCTAGGGATGCATGTTGATGTCTGAAAAGATCACCTGCTAGGACACAGCACCATCCCTCTTTTTTGTTTGTTTTATTGTTTACTTGTTCCTTTTCTTTGTGACGTGTGTTGACCACTGGAATATCTTTTCTTTGTTTTTCTTTTGTCCTGCTTGGATGTGTTATTTGAGCTGGTGTAACAATGGATGTTTTCTCTTGGACCCTGTGGGAACTAGTGAAGAGATTACTCTTTGCTCCCATTTGGCGTGCTCTCCAAAAGCTCTCAGTGAAAAAACAATTGCCTGTCTGTAAGGCCTCTTGCAAAACCCCCGTTTTAAGAGAATTGTTAAGTTATTTGTTTTAAGAAAAGAAAAAGTTGTTAACCCTATAACACCCAGGACCATTGGTGAATGCCTGGAAGGGCAAGGGACAAACATGCCCATTGATCAGACCAGCAGTTCATTTGAGTGTATTGAAAGTGAGCACTGCATGATGGCACCAGTCTAAGTTTTGCACTTTTTTTTTCTTCTTTTGTTTTGTTCTCGTCCCTCCCCTTCCCTTGTGGCGATGGCACTAGTTTAACTTGACGCTGGTTGCGTCGGACACGCTGCACGAGGGGAGCACGACGGTGCTAATCCACATCAAGGATGTCAACGACCTGCCGCCAGTTTTCGACCGCCCTTCGTACGAGACCACCATCAAGGAGGAGGTGTCCCACAATTTGCCCCTGAGAATCATGACGGTAGGGAGACATTCACTGTCGTTGCCAGCAGAAACATGCTAACTCTTAAAGGGGCCCTGCAATCATATTTAAGCGTCTACCTTTTTTGCGGTTTCCACGTCTCTTGGGGTTGGGGCAAGCCAGCGGGCACGGAGAGAATAACTAAATATCAGTGCGTCATATTTTAACCGGACGACGCGGAAACCTCCTCCACCGACGAGGGCGACCCGCGGTACCGAAAGCGCGCAAAATGTGACGTCTTTGGTCCTGGGCTTGCCACTGGTCAAAGCCGCTAAGAGCTTTTTTTTAGTCGAGATACAAAATATAAGTGTCGCGAACCGTTTCAATTATGTATGAAAGTAGTTTTTGTTCACTATTTTAGATCAGAAAAGAAACAAATGCAGTTTAGAAAGTACGGAAACGAGAAATGACTTGTCGACATACCCGCCACCAAGTGGCGGAAAAAAACGGCGCATACTAGAAAAGGCTAGTGGGATGAGGCTACGACAAACGAGGAGTGTAGAAAGGTCCCGGATGTACGCGGCGGCGCTGTGGTCGTATACCGGCTCAAGAATCCGACCGGTTCCGAGCGTTCCGAAGGCCTTCGGCGCGGGCCCTGCTGGCGATTTGGCCATTTGGCGGTGCGTCAGCGCGAAGTGGCTCCCGTTTTGAACTGATCTTTACCCCGTGCTTGCTGTCGTTTGTGGCCAATCAAATGTTATGCCGAATTAGTGTTTAGTCGCGCTGCAAATGCAATGCGAGCTGCCCTGGCCGCCCGCTTCATACAGCCTATCCAACACGTGCTTTAGTGGCGCCCTCTCGAGCCGTCGACACTGAGTGCGGCAGCCGTGTGCGCTCGATGAGCTCATTACTCCTCCTCTAGTTCAAGGCCACTCAAGCCAGGACCTACGACGTCATGAAGCAGGTTATTTTTCGCTTGTTTTTGTAATTCTAATTTGCCTATAACTTTTAAAATAAAGCGAAATTTGAGAAAAGAAAAGTTGGATTAAGTTACTACGTTCAGTACGCTCAGGTTCAGTGCAAATTAAAAACCAGTCAAAGTCATTGCAGGGCCCCTTTAAGAGTTCATGCCTTTCTCTTCAAAACTTTACTGGCGCTCAACTGGTAGTGAGTTGTGGCTTTATCTCCTATGATCTGGGAGCCCTGTCTATAAGCTTCAACATTTTGGCATTAGTTCCCGTTTCTTTTTTTTGGACAGACCAAATATGGTAGTCGCCAAGTTCTGGGCGCAATATTTGTTCAGAGTTTGTGTATGCCTTGTGCACTTGGGTTCATTTAGGGGGCTATGTGGGAAGACAAAGCTCCTTACACATTATATTGTAATTGACACCTTGTTGCATCTGTTTACCCCTAATGATGTGGTTACTGCTAAATCTGGGATTTTGTATGCCCTTGTTAAAATGGGGTGGGCTTTTGGGTTCTACCCTTTAGCTTCTAACACGGTCGAGGCCGACTTTTGAAAAAAACCTCGTGCTTGTGTCCTTACAAGTGGAAGGTGAGAGGCATATGCATGCTTTTTATTAACCCTACCACTGCCGTGTGATGCATGAAATGCTTTGTTTGTCAACTTTCTTGTATGTTTGCATGCATGTGATGTGTGACTATTTGTTACAGTTGCCTGTTTCTGCATGCTTCTGTGCATTTCTATGTGCAATCATTGCTATACGCTTTCACTCCTCTTTCCAGCACGATGAATTCTAGAGTGTTTCAATTCAAAGCTTATTCCTTCTCACTAAATGCTACATCTTGCATAAAATTAAAGGTGTTGAAGCTAGATAGGGGAATGGGAGTTTAAATAGTACAAAAGAATTTCGAGAGAGCTCAGGGTTTTTATGTAGTTGCCATATTGTATACCTGGGAATCATGCTTCGTATATTTGTCGTAAATGATACTTTATGAAAACGGCTAACGAAATGTGAATGTAACAAAAATGAATGGGCCGGTGTTTTGCTCATAACCTACAAGAAGCTTATTTCATAAATGGGCAGTTTCATTTGGATTCAAGCAGCAGGGTACATGAATATTTTTTTTTTTTCAAAATACTAATATGTTGTTGTGTCTACCACAGGAAAGGCAACACTTCTTATTTGAAGGTTCTGACATGTTTAGTTTAAAATAAATTCCCAAAGGAGATAGGAAGCAATGGGAGTGTTTTGACGAACGTCATCCCTAACATCTCTGATTCATGCTCAATCCTAAAGTATTTGCAACAGATTCTCCAAGTTTTTAGGGTAATCTATGTACAATCCTGTAGGACAGTATTTAAGTCTAAGTGTAGTGTTTATAGTCTAGAGCAGTGGTTCGCAACCGCAGGTGTGTCGCGGACCCCTTTTCGGACCGGCGGAAGGGATGGGGCACCCCATGCAGGGGGGGGGAGGGGGGAGAAAGAGAGAGAGAGGGAGGAGAGGGGGAGGGAGGGAGGGGCCTAGAACATGTTGATGGGGGAAAAAAAAGGGGGGGGGGAGAAGAATAAAAACGGGTGCCTTTCTGCAGGTTTGTGCTCCCAGAATCATGAATGAGTCATGGCTAGACTGAACTTGACACAAAGTGCCCCAAATCATTCAAGAAAAAAAACAAAACAAAAACATTGTTTTTCTTTTGCTGAACCCCGAAATGCTTTCGCAGAGCGCAAGGGTTCTGTGGAACCCTGTTTGAGGACCACTGGTCTAGAATTTTGTAAAAATTTGCAACATATGTTAAATTTTTTTGGCCAAAACTTTTTTTTCCAAGTAGAGTTTCAGTGTATTGTATTGATATTAATTCCACATATGAGATGTGTCATTGTCTCTAAAATGATAGAAAGTATATGGTATTATACTTTATACTGAGACAATAAATTATTTAGTGTAATACATTTTCAGATTTTGTTCAAGCACATTAAAAACAAAAAGCAATTTGTTTTTTCTTGCTTTACTTTTTTTTTTTTTTTTAGCCCACATGTAGATTGAGAGGAAGAAATGCTTAGTATCAGAGTGCAGAGCCTCTAAAGATGCTGCGAGATAGCAACCGCCAGTGGCAGACCTTTGATGCTTGCTATCTTTGCCAAGTTTGAATAGGTGTCAAGTCTAAACTATATGTAAGACAAGCCTTCTACTTAAAAAAAAAAACAACTATTTATGAAATATAATATATTACTTTCTGGTTTATAAGTCAGTTTTACACCCGAATTTCCGTTGGGGACTCTTAAACAAAACTCTTAAACAAAGATGTGAATTATGACTTTTTTTTATATATAAATACTCTGAACATTTAGCTGTGCAAAATGTGTAGGCTGTATTGATATCTATGAAAAAGGAGGATGACTGAGCAGTCTTTTTTTTATTGCATCGTAACGAGTCTGGCTCCGTCAGACACTGCCTTCGGGTGCTGCAGATCGGCTTTCCCTCATACTCCGCTCTCCGCAATATGGCAAATTTCTGTAGAAGCACATGTACTTTTGTAGCAGAAAAGGCCATATCACAGATAGGCATATCCTCATCATTTTCATAAAACATTTCTTTGCGTTCCGATTGTTTCTGTTCTCTTTGGCCATACTTAATTCAGTTTCTCTCGTAAGGTGATTCAATGAAATTTTTTGGTGATTTATAGAGCTGCTTCTGGTGAAACTCAGAATTTCTGCATGCATTAGTGTGACAGGTATAATCTGCCAATGAAAACTTCTAGCCTGAACTTCAATATTTCGGGTAAAAAAAATAATAGACTTGTAACTGGTTTAACAATGAAGAAGCCTTGTTCATAACAGCCGGTTCATGGGATCTCATACACCGCTGTGCAAAATAAAGAATGTGACACGGGTGTGCCGATGTTGAGTTCATTTTCCTGAAATCCTCGACTCTCATCAACGCAATGCAGGTGACAGCGACTGATGGGGATAAGGATCGCGAGTCACTGATAGTCTACTTCCTGACGGGCCAAGGCGTGGACGAAGATCTCGGCAACAGCAAGTTTGCCATCAACACGACTACTGGAGAAATTTATGTGCTCAAGCCACTAGATAGGGATCTTCCACACGGGCGGTCCCAGTGGCGCTTCACCGTCTTTGCCGAGGATGAGGGAGGCAACGGCTTGGTCGGCTTTGCAGACGTCCTCGTCAACCTCAAGGACGTGAACGACAATGCTCCCTTCTTCCCATCTGCCATCTACACTGGCAATGTGACAGAAAACGGGACCGCCGGTAAGCATTCAGCTGAAAGCTCGGCAGTAATAGTTTTTGTTGTTTTTTTTCAGTCCAAGTTAGCTTTTTTTTCTCTAGGTGCACTGAAAGTTGAATTTAGGAGAGTAGTTTCTGTAGCTGCCAACATTTGCTGTCGGCCCTGTACTGTTACGTCCTAGATTTCTAGTGGATTTTGTGAAACTCTGTTGCATCTAGGCAATTACAGTATTTACTGGCACCCATTTCAAAACCCGCATATTCACTTGGTGATTTTTTTTTTTAACGAGAAGCAAATGTGCAGCTTAATTTTACAGAAGCTGACAGTCATTCTTTTTGCTTGGGCTAATTCCAGGCATGACTGTGATGACCATGACTGCCACGGATTATGATGACCCCAACGAAGGAAACAACGCCCGTCTTACCTACTCAATCGAGCAAAATCAAGTGAATGAGAACGGCGAACTCATCTTCACCATTGATGAGGAGACTGGAGTCATTTCAACTGCCGTATGCTGTCTTGATCGGGAAACAAACCCAGAGTACACAATCAAGGTCGTCGCTGTCGACGGTGGCGGTCTCAAAGGTGAGTCTTGCTGCCATGTTTTGAACCTGGTGACTTCTTTTTACCAGTGTTTTGCTAAAACAATTCTGGTGTAACTTTGCTTCTCTCTTTAGACAGTAATAATGCCATTTCAAAAGGCTACATTAATATGAATCATAATTTGCTGCTATGGAGGACACTTGTAGAGTGGGAGTTGTCAACTGTTTTACATCCCACTCAATTTCATATTAATGGTTTTTTGGCGGTTTTATACGAGGTGTGAATTTAATTTTCTAAACCCTTTAAGTTATTCCTCATCTCATTGTCTCTGTGTGCTTTTGTAGAACTGTATATCACAGATGTGCCACGGTGTAGCCGGGGGGAAGGGGGGGGCGGGGGAGGGAGGGAGGGTGAGGGGAGGGGGGGAAGGGGGAAGGAAGGAAGGAAGGGAGGGAGGGGAGGGAGGGGAGGGAGAGCTTATGGGGCTTCAGCCAGCTCCCACCCCCACTTTGCACCCCAAGTCATGGACATCCCAGTCATGGACATCCCAGCCACCTCAACCCCCCCCCCCCCCCCCCCCCCCCCGCGGCCCCCCCCCAAAAAAAAATTGCTATGTCATTGCACATGTGATACCATACTGTGGATGTTGTAAAAATGTTCCCTACTCTGTGCATCAGGAACTGGGACGGCCACAATCAAGATCAAGGACATTAATGACATGCCTCCCGAATTCACAAAGAAGGACTGGTTTGTTGATGTGGAGGAAACCGAAGCTGACAACATCCCTGAAAATCCAATTTTGGTTGTGTCAGTCAATGATGGCGATCTTTTGGAGACCAACCGATTCAGCTACAAAGTCATCGACAACACCTTTGGGTCAGACAAGTTTACCATGGTGACAAACTCTGATGGCACAGGATCTCTCAAAATTGCCAAGGTGAGGGTTCTTGTTTAGCCTGGTTTGAGTATAACATCATGTGATGATCTAGCACATATTTGTCCTGTGCCCACAAACAACCTAATGATCTGCTGAATGGTGTACAAAACAATTGAAATACTCTGTATATAAATTAAACAATATACTGGTCATTAATACAACTAGATAACCAAGGATACATATGTATCATCATGCTTATAGAGAAGACATCAATTCGTACATGTGAAAGGATTTCACGATGACAGATGAAAATATCAAAGTTAGGTTCACTCACAGAATTAAAAACCAGTTGCAGCCTCGTTAGAGGTGACGCATAGGACATAAAAGCGGGGTAAAAAGTTGTAATGTTCCGGCTGACAAGGGGTGGAACATGGAAAATCCATCGAAGCCACCTCTCCGCAAACTACCCTGTGTAAAAATATAAAATCTTTTTTACTGTGTCTCATAGACAGCTTATTTAATGAAAACCAGCGAAGCAATGATTTAGAGGGGAAGAAATAATCTCTGCCAATATACCTATCTTAAACAATTCTAATCATGCACTTCTGGTCATTTTTGATTAGAGCAGTCTGTGTAAGAGTCGGGGAATTCCAGATAACAGAGGTAAACCGCAACCGTGATCTAACTAAAGACTTAAACGAATGCAGTTAACAAAGGGGAGAAGAAAACTACTGACAACATAATCGTGAAATCATACCCTTTTAAGGTTATAATGACATGGTTATTAAAAGAAAGTCCAATCTCGATAAAGACTCCAAGATCCCTGATCAGAGAAACTGTTGGAATGGAAACACCACCAAGGAGGTGTGTAAGAAAAGTGAATAATATCGCACTTTCTAGATAGCCCTAGTCACGTGGTAGACACGTGCGCCACCGCCGCAAGTTACGCTGGAGCCATTTAGCTTCGCAGCTGCTGACAGCAGAACCCCCACACCACCGTCGCACGCTTAGCATGGCGCGCCTCCGGCTGAACGCGTTTCTCCACGCTGCCGCCGTCAATTTCTGACTAGTGCACAGGTCTATCACGTGGCGCTTGCACTCTTTTGGAAGCTTCCTATGGGCTCTAGAAGTTGCTCATTAATCTTCATTTTTTTTGTTGCACTTAAAGGGGCACTGACACCCCAAAAATCATATTTCTTTTATTGTCTAAAACGATGCAAGTTGCAGTCATAAACACGCAAAAAAAAAACGCATCGCGAAAAAAAAATTTTTTGCACGCGCGCGCGCCTTTTTATTTTTGGCGTTTGATTCTCCCGCCTTTCGCTTCTTTTGATTCGTGACGTCAAGAATCATGAAATTTAGAATCTTTGTAGGCGACATCTCTATAACATTTAATAACGGCAACCCTAAAACATGTTTAACACAATTGCGAACGCACTGCGGCCCTTCTTTTTGAGATACCTAAAATCGGGAGTTCGTTGTGGTGCCGTCTTTTGGATTTGTATCCTCCCACGGAAAACAGGCGACACCGCTCAAAACCGGTCAGCCGCAACGCCGGCGCTCGCTCCTTTCCTCGCTTTGGGTCGCCATGGCAACAGCAGGGAGTCGTGAAAGAAAGTGGACTCTCAGGACTCCGCAATATTTGACGTCAACGCACCGGCGCGGATCGCGCGGGAACTTCGAATTTGGCATTTGGAAATTGTTTTTTTACTTCACAAATACTGAATTCCCAAATTTCAATTTTTGAGGGCAATGTCCCAGCATCGTTTTCAATCGTTTCAAATAATAAAAAAAAAAAAATTTGACTTTGATGTGTCAGTGCCCCTTTAAAATGAAGATTAATAAGTAACTTGTAGGGCCTATATGAAGTCTTCGAAAAAGTGCAATCACCATGTGACCATAGCGGCCAGTCACGTGACTATAGCAGCCACTTTTCTGCGTGCTCCCACAAGCGCCAACTACAAATTCTTTCACGCCGTAATTATAGCTTAAAAAAAACATTGTAAATTTGTTTTATGAAATCCTGTTTGCATCTAGGCTGTTTAAAAAGAAAAAAATTGTTTTTTCCTTTTGCATATATCCTTTAATGGGCCCTTTGACACAGGCCACTATGCCATCACCCCTTTTTTCTGTGTGATGCATAGTTTTCGCAGGAGCGCTTTTGCCCACGTTTGCGGAAACTCCCTGTGTGTATATATACAAATAATATATTTTCCATACTTTAGTCTGCATTTGGTGCATAATCCGCAAAAGCAAATTTGGTGTAAAACAAAACAAAAGTTTTTGCTGAGTTAGTTTGCATTTATACTCTGTTGCAACTCAAGAAGGTAGGGTGGGGGTAAGGGGTCGGGGAGGAGGAAGCAGACGGAACGCTGGAGAAGAGAGAGGGAAACCTCCTCTCTTTAGTGTTCCATCTGCTTCCTCTTTCCCGGCCTGTCTTACCCTCGCCCTACCTTCTTGAGTTGCAACAGACTAGAGTGCCTAGTCCAAATGTAAAAATCATCATACACAGCACACTTTGACAAATGCCTGCTGTATTAGCTCACAGAGAAGCTTGAATCATATATAAATCGACATTAATATACTCCGTTATTCATAAAATCATTCACGTCTTGTCACTGGGAACGATCTAGAAAAAACAAAACAAATCCTTGTATTTTTCGCACCTGTAGGTAGTCCTCTTCATCGGGTAAAATTTCAAATTTTAAATGTGTATAGTCCGTAGACTACACAACGGAAAATATGGTGTGTGTTACCATATATATATATATATATAAAAGCATTTTTTCTGCCCTGGTCTTCAATGCAGCAGAATGACTGCATGCCTTTTATTTCAGCCACTTGATTATGAAGACCTGCAGCAGCGCTTTGGCTTCAATATCACTATCCAAGTGAGCGACAATGGCGGGGAGTCAACTGACCCGTACCACGCCGACTATGCCAAGGTCAAGGTTAGGGTCAAAGACATCAATGACAACAAACCAGAGTTCGAGCGACCCAACATTGAAGTCTCTGTGCCTGAAAACTCCACCGTGGGCTCGAGCTTGGCCACGTTCAAAGCCACTGACGCAGACCAAGGTGGCAAGTCACGTGTCAGGTCAGCATTCAATTGGCCTCATTTTTCCATGTTACTTGTGGAGCGCATTGTCGCCCATGGCAGTCTTTTGCCCTTGAGACTGCGGAGATTTCGAGCCTTTGAAGGCTGTCCTAAGTCCAAAGGAAGGTGAGGTAGCAGTGTCGGGCAGCGACTTGGTATCCTTGCGAGTGATGTCATGACGACTGAAATCCGAGACAGTTTTGTAGAGAAGCAGACAAGCACACACGGGGTCTCAAACACAGCTGAAGGTTTTTAATCTAACTACACAGGAAATAGTAAACCATCGGCTGCATTTGAGACCCTGTCTGTGTTTGTTCTTTTTCAATATGTTCCTTAGTCTCAAGTTTTGCCAGTGGAAATTGTTGCCAGCTAGCTTGGTTTTTAAGTTATTATTACAGCGATGATGTTCTTTAAAATTGGGAGTCTATATACAATTGTAACCAAAGAATTTCAACCCATAAATGTTGGCAAAATTTTCTAGCCCATCAACCTAATGCAGAAAGATGTGATATGTGGGAATCTGTCCTAATTTTGTACAAATTTTGAACAACTGGCTAATCTTCTAGGAATAGAATGGCGACGTCCGGGTACACAAACGAAGGTTCGAGCAAGGGGGGAGTTCCACTTCTCCCGCCTCTTGAACTGTTTCCAAAAAGGAAGGAGTTAAAAAATCGTTTCATGTCCCCTTTAAATTTTCTGTTATAAATGCTCAAAAGGTGGTTCGATTTCCATAGTAACCTAGTAATCTTTTTCTTGGAATTCTGAAGGGGGAGGGGGGTGAGGGGGGGGGAATTTTATTGGCCATGTTTTCCAACGAAGCTGCTTATGGCTAGGGTTCCGTGGATTTTTCGTGTGCTGCAACTAAAAACTCGACGCTCGCACCGCCGTCCGAGCACGCCTTCCCCGTATAAAAGATGCGAAGTAAATAACCAAAATAAAGCGTTGATGAACACACGTGCAAGATGCCATTTGTTTTAGGCTTTTGCTTTAGAACAGTTACTACTGCAGACAGCGGCACATGGAACACCATTCCCTGCATTCTCCTTGCTGCTTAGGTAATTTAGCAGTAGGTCTATTCAGTAGACTCTGAGGTACAATAAAGGTTTCTCGAAGATTAGCCACTGTTCGACCGGCTCCGCCTTTCTTTGTCGTCGTTCCAAGCGCTTGCGTGCCTAGTTTTCTTTCCTTCCACTCTCCCAAGGTGGCAGTCCCGTAGCGCGTGCCTAGTTCCTTCCAATTCCTCGGGGCGGGTCTGTCGTGTGCTAAGCAGCTTCGCTGCTCGTCCACCTTCGCAGACTAGAATGGCTGATGATTTTTTTTAGTTGTTAGTTTAGAGGGCTAAAACGTCAGCATGTTTAATTGTTTGTCTTCCTTTGTCACACCTGCGTAGCTATATGATTGACCGCTCTTCGGACAAGAAGCGGCAGTTCAAGATCAATCCGAACGGGGTTGTGGAGATCCAAAGGACTCTGGACCGAGAGGACATTCCTAGACACCAGGTCAAGATCCTTGCCATCGATGATGGTAGGTGTCTTTTTCCCCAAAGAAAGCTTCATAACAGGCAGTGCTCACATGTGGCTGCCTTCTGGGACCCGATGCCGGCCTACCTTCAGGTTCCTTTGTGTGTTTGGTTTCATTGCTAAGTTCTGGGCTCAACCTGAACTCTTGGAATGCAGGTGTTCCATCCCGCACGGCAACTGCAACGCTGACGGTGGTGGTGAGCGACATCAACGACAACCCGCCGCGGTTCCAGTACGACTATCGACCTGTGATTCCCGAACACACACCGCCCCAGAAGGTGCAGGAGATTCTGGCCACGGATGACGACGACCGATCCAAGAACAACGGTCCCCCCTTCACTTTCCGCATGGACCCCAATGCCCCGGAGCTCATCCAGCAGTTCTTCCGCGTCGAGCACGACCCAAGTGAGTTACCGCTGCTAGCACTCTGATTGCCTTCAAGTATTTTCCCCGCCTTTATTTAACTTCTAAGTACTGCAGCAATTAGCAGATGGCTTCCTCTTTCTGCAGAGTTCCGAAAGAATGCCCATCCAAAATAAAGAGATAAATGCTGAAAAACATGGGGTGGGCTATCTTTAGGGATGCCACAGCAAAACTTTATCAAAAATTAATGATAAACTCTCTGGCACGGGCTACAAACCACGTGACGTGGGTACTGCTGCCGCAGATCACGGTCATAAACACCGCAAATGAATGTTTCAAGATGTCATAAACACGCAGGTATTCACTACGAACTCCTGTGTCACGGGAAAGGATACTGCAAGTTGTGGACGCAGCAGATTCTCATTTCACGGTACAAAGGACCTGCGGAAACCCGCCGAGAACTCTCATCTCACGTGAACAAATACCGCTAATTGCGGATGCAGCAGATTCAAGTTTTATCATTCAATGAACACACGTTAACCCGCTACAAACTTGCCTGTCATGGGAACCCATATCGCGCGCATTTCGTAAGTGAAAACGCAAGAATCTGCTATGAACTCGTACAATTAAGGGAAGAAATACCGTAGATCGCGAACGCTGCAGAATCGTATTTCACGATGCAATATACACGCAGGACCAACTTGCATGGAATCGAAGTCGCGCACTCAGATCAACGACAAAAACGCGGGAATCTGCTATGAGCTCGCCTGTCACACGTGCCGGTACAGCAAATTGCGCAGTTAATGCAATTCCCGTCGGACATCACGTGACGTCCAACAGGAATCGGGGGGGGGGGGGGGGGGGGGGGGGGGGGGGGGGGGGGGGTTATGAGTTTTTTTGTTACAGATATTTAGCTAGAAAAACTGAATGGGCGATCTCTGGGGGGCGGGCATTCTCTCGGAACTTTACGATAGTTAAGACATGCCACAATATCACCAGATTATGTTTTTGGCATGGGTCTGTTCATAGCTTGAGTATTGCAGGATATGGTACTCTGGCATCAGGGGGCAAGGGTACTAAGGTTTGTTTGCTTTTGCCTCGGCAGTGTTTCTCAACTGGTGGCTCCTTTTCTTTTTGTCCTTTCTCCAGCTGGTGCCAATGGGGACGGCATGGCAGTGGTGCGATCCCGAGAGACATTTGACCGGGAGACCCAGAAGGAGTACTTGGTGCCCATTCTGATCAAAGACAATGGCAATCCCTCTCTCACGGGCACCTCGACTCTCACTGTCATCATCGGTGACATCAACGACAACCGAATGCACCCGGGCAGCAAAAGCATCTTCGTCTACAACTTCAAAGGTGTGCACACTTTGGGATTTTTGATATGGCAAATTACTGCCCAAACTGGTGCCTTCTCATGAATGATAAGAAAATTATTTTTACCTAAGCCAGGGTTTCTTATAACTGGGTTCCGCGAGCTGGTCTAATGGGTTCCGCAAGCAACCAAATTGTAGTGCCCCCGCCCCTTGGTTTCACGGACTGAGCCATGGATTGAGTTTATGTTGCGGGCAAACCAACCTCACCTTTCACACTAATATGTATATATATTTTATATTGTGCCCCAGGTTAATCCCTCTGCCTTCTTATTCTGTCTGTAGTCCTCCATTTTGTCTTTGTCTCTCTGTGCAATATACTCTTGTTCACTATCTAAACGCCTTTATTGCCCAGTATGATTAATGTCCAACAAGGGGGGTTCCTTGGGATGTTTTGAGGCTTGCTGGGGTTCCCTGGGACAAAAAACTTTGAGGACCCCTGACCTAAGTATTTGTTGTGTATCTGATCTGCTTGAAGCAATGAAATGTGATACATACTTATGAAATTCTTAGTGTTCAAGATGCTGTTTTGAGTACCACTTGCTTTATCATTGATAGCAAATCTTTTGTAGCGTACACTAGCTGATTAATATAAGTATCCTTGTAGGCGCTAGATGTTGCTAATTTTGAATGGGCTAACCTCCAGATGAGTCAACATCTTATGCTGGTGAGGTCACTCAGAAATGGAATGCCTTGCAGGAGAGTCGCCACCAACGAAGATTGGTCGCATCCATGTGGAAGACCTTGACGATTGGGACTTGCCGGACAAAACATTCTTCTGGGAGAACAATAATGCCCATCCAAACTTCGACATGGACGGCCATACTGGCATGATCACCATGCTCAACTCCACGGGCGCAGGCACCTACTTCCTGCGCTTCCTTGTCTACGACCGCATGCACACCATGGATGCCCACGCCAACGTCACGGTCACGGTCAAGGAGATACCAGAGGAGGCCATCTACAATTCTGGCTCCATCCGTGTGGCTGGTGAGTGCTGTTTTTTGGCCTGGCCTATTCGCTATGTTGCCACTTGTCCAATATAAAGCCGGCATCTTGGTGGAATGCACTGCAGCTTGAAACACCTGGGCAGGACTTGCATTGCAGGTCTAGTGGTTGCAAGCTTAATTTCCACACCTTTCAGATTGTTTTATTTGTATTTTTTCTGGATAGCTGTCACACTGGTACACTTTGAGGGATTGTAATTCCCTCGTGTACTTTCTTTGTCACCAATGTATTCAGGAATATACAGCGTGTCTGTACTCTCCCATACTCGCAAACTATATCTCAATCACACTTCTCTTCATAAGATTGGTCCAATGTGCGCAGGCACGCATTAGTGTGTTGGTGACGCAAGAAGATGTACAGCAACACAATGGAAATGATTCTTGTGATGCAGTAATAGCAGATTTTCTGCGGGTCCCTTCCACTGCGCTGGGTGGTGCTTACTTTTGCAATGGGTCAGTTGCCCCTCACTCTGGTGAAATGCCCCAAATATAAAAGGAGCCTTACACTGTGTGTGTGCAACTTGCTGTACAGTCGAACCCCGCTACAACAAAATTGACGGTGCACGAGAAAAAATTTGTTGTAGCGAAAATTTTGTTTTGTGAAATTCAGCAAAAATGGCATACCTGAACTTTTAGAGTACAGAAATCCAAGCGGAAGCACTGCCTGTGTCCGCCGATGCCGACTCGCCACCAAGCGTTTTGCCAACAATGTCATGGCGGGCCTTGAACCTGTTCAGCCAGCCGGTGCTAGCTTTGAAGTGGTCAATTCCCAACAGGCAAGCGAAATTTAAGGCCTTCTGCTGCACGACGCTTCCACTGATGGGTATCTTCTTCGCCGTCGTCTCCACAAACCATGTGTACATAGTAGCTTTGTCGAGCTCTTAGTGCGCCGACGGTGTCAGTTTCTTTTGCTTGGCCGATGTCCCCGATGCAAGAGCCTTTTTGATTGCATCTTTCGACTTTAGGATCGTTGACAGAGAACTCGGAGAAGTTACAAACTTTTCCGCGATGACAGCTTTTTTTCTGTCCACTTGCAACTTCGGCCAGGATGCGAGCTTTATCTTATAAAAATAAAAATTTCCGCGTTTTGCTTGGCGGTGCCATGTCCAAAAAGCCCGCGTACTGTACTGAGAAAAGGACATCCGACAAAACAAAAAAGACGGCTGAGCTTTGGCTTTGGGTAGTCTGCAGCAGAGGATTATGAAGCCAAGAGCTAGGGTGCAATGGGTGCAACCAACATTGGTACAACAGCGAAGGAGTGCCGGGAAGGCCAACCTCATTGCCGTAGCCTTCGAGTAATGGCGGCCTGCACTCCCAATCAACGTTGCACTCGGGTACCGGTTATTAGTGGCAGTTTCTGGTGGTTTGAACGCGATTTACACTTCATAGTAGATGTATTTTATGTGCCAAAATGTACCTAAGTGCCCTACAGTTTGTTTTCGGTGCGGAAAATTAAACTTTCAGACAGCTCTGTAAAATTTTGTTCAAGCAGAACGGCACAAGAAACAGTGTTCTCTGTAGTAAAAAGTTCTATGCCTTGACTCCTATGGACCGTTGACAGGGAACCAAAAAATATTCGTGGAACCGGAAATTTCGTTGAAGAGGGGTTAGACTGTACTATAAATAGAAGACATGACCCTTGACTCCGCTCGTTCCTTATGGTGGCATCCTCTGCAGGTATCACAGATGAGGACTTTATTCGGGTGTGGGATTGGAAAAAGCAGCGTCAGGTGAAGAGCAAGTACGAGATCTTCCGGGACCTGATAGCCGAGCTAATCAAGACCAAGCCCTACAACGTGGACATCTTCAGTGTCATTCTAAAGCAATCTCGACCACCCATCACGGACATCCGCTTTTCGGCCCATGGCTCGCCCTACTACAAGGCCAGCCTACTGAACGGCGTCGTAGCTGTCAATCGTCGCGAGGTGAGTGCTAGACCTATTCGGCCAAGCCAGATGCGGTGAACTCAAATTTAGCATTTGAGCTGAGAAAAAAAAAAAAACTGGTTTGTGGAATTTCCATCTATTCTTGCCTAGAAGCTACCACTTTATTCTTGGATCCTGAACCAGACTCTATAATTCATTCCCAATTTTCTGAAAGTTTTTTCAGAACTATGTTATTTGAGCTGAGAGTGCACTAGGTGTAAAAATTGTGTTTTGTTGGCTACTCTTTTTTACAGATTGAAAATAAAGTTGGCATCAATATTACGATGGTAGGCATCGATGAGTGCCTCTTGGAAAACCACAACTGTGAAGGAAGCTGCACCAATGTGCTCATGATAGACCGCAATCCGGTCATGGTCAATGCAAACCGCACCTCCTTTGTCGGGGTGAACACTTGGGTGAAAGCAAAGTGCACGTGTGGTGCTCGAGACTTCTCCGAGATAGAGTCCTGTCGCAAGAGGCCACCTCCTTGCTACAACAATGGCCGCTGCGTTGATACTTACACTGGCATCAGGTATGTATGGGCTTATTTATGCTGGATATGACAGCGTACTGTTTGGTGTGGCACTTGTTTTCTAATGAGTTATTACTTGTATTCATTGCCCTCTAGCTCTCAATAACTTTTATTCGGTAATGCAGGTTCAGGACATTTTTTTCCTATTGTGGGATGTGTTTTACGAGTTGTTTTCTATGAGAAACTTGTCATGAACGACCGTCCGGAACAAGCATTGTGAACAAGCAACGTGCTGGAAGCGCTGCACGACGATGAGATCATACTGTAAGATACCGCGGAAGCACCCAGTATTACAGCCAAAACCGCTTATATCGAACAGCGCAGAGATCCCAAAACAGTTCAATATGGCCAAAATGCGATGTATGAAATGAGGTGAGAAACACTTACGCGCCATGCGATCGGCACAGTAACGAGCTGTAAATTTCATTGCCGCATGCTTTCTTAATTGGTTAGGACACTTGCTTGAGACCACTATGTAGATTCATTGTGCTGAAAAGTACTGCGCCAACGTTGTCTGCTTTTTAGAGTTAAATAGCATGCTTTGTCACAGCCTGCTCCACGGTGTCGAGACAATCCACAAGTGCAAGTCCACTTCCTTCTATTGCACTGCAATAGCGGTGCAGCACAGCAACGACAGCCACGGCTTCGCACGAGGGAGGGGGGTGCAGCATCTTCGATGTCCGCAGGGCCAGGCTCATCACTCACGACAGGCCACTCGCGGGCAACCTTGGAAGCGGTTTCAATATCTGTCGGCTCCGCCGTAGTTCCGCTTATCATCGTCGCCAACGAAGTCGTCTATGCTCATCGTCTCGGGCAAAACGGGAGAACCTGTCTCATGTTTTGTCGAGCTTGCAGTGGTCTTGTTCGGACTCGTCAAGAAGTTCTTCACTCTGTCCTTCAGCTTGCTCAGAAAGCTCCTCGGCGTAGTCATTGAAGCCAGCGTGCCGGAAGCAATTGGCTATTGTGTCGCTTTTGACGTTCTCCCAGAAGGCCTTGAGCATTTGGATTGCTCCTAAGACGTCTATTTTGAGCTCCTGATTCATGCGAACCTTGACGAGCAAAAACTTGCGAGTCTCCTCTTGTAGATGGCTTTAAAGGCTCGAATTATGCCCTGATCCAAGGGTTGGAGCTTGGATGTCGTGTTAGGAGGCAGGAACTTGAATTCGTTTTTCAGTGGTATGTCTGTATGGTGCACCGTACAGTTGTCAACGAGTAGACACACTCTGCAACTTTTGTTCGCAAGCTCGTCGTCCCAGTCTATTAGCCACCTGCCAAATAGGTCCAGAGTGATCTTCGACTTCGTGTTCCACGCATCTCGAACGGGAACATTGCGGCAGTTCTTCATGCAGTGTGGCATTTTGAAATTTCCTATGACAAAAGGGCACAGCTGTGTGGTGCCATCCATGTTGGCGGCCAGGAATACCGTAATTCGTGCCTTATTTTGTTTCCCGTCCTGACACTTGTCACCGCATTTGCCAAAATAGCCGTCTCGTCGGCGTTAAAGATGTTCCCCGCCTAATACTTGGCCAGGACCGGGGGCCACTTGTCCTTAGGCCACTTCCTGATGCTCTCAACGTTGGCCACTTCGCTTTCCACCGAGATGGCCTTCCCAACAATGTCATAGCAGCCCTTGAATTGTTGTAGCCATTTGCCGCTCGCTGTGAACCTTTGGACCTGAGAACGAAAGCAAGGTCTCTTGCTTCCTCTTGCAACATCGGTCCCGATACGGGGATGCTTTGGGCCCGGACGTCGATAAACCACTTGTACATCGCTTCCTCGTCTTCTTGAAAGTCGGGCTCCTGAACACATTGTGCATCCGAATGCTTGCCTGCTGCTTTCACTTTGATATCACTCTTGTTCTTGAGCAGATTAATATTGTAGGCGTCGGCCACACTTGACTTCTTCTTGCCCTTTTCAACACATTTCTAGCTTCATCGAAAATGTCAGCGTCTTCCTTTTCTTCACATTCGCACCCATGGCTTAGGCCTACCGCAGAATGAACATCGCAGGCGGAAATGGCGGGAACAAAAAACGAGCAAGAGCTATCTCCAAATCAAATCCGAATGTGTGCCTGCGTCCGCAAGTCTCTGAACCACGATCGCCGTTATGCTCTTTGTGGCGCTCAAGGCGCCTTGTGCTTGTGCAAGCGTCATAAGCACCTGCCACACTGCCGCTACCCGTTGGTGCACTGTGGGAAAGCCTGCCGCATTGCTCAGGAGCGCACGCAATCTGACGCTGTGGAGTTCGCTATATTCATTGGGGGACCGATCGCGTTTGATATATAAGGTAAAACATGTGTATTTTTAAGGAAGTTCGGAACGGGTTTGATGCGAGCCGTAATTCAATATGTCCGTGTTCGATATATTCAAATTTGACTAACATTTCCCAAACTTGTTAATTCTCTAAATTCCACACTGACACCCCCCAAAACTTTTTTTTTTAATTTTTTGCCAGGCGATTTATTACGGTGTCGGAAGACTACGTAATTAATTTTTTGGTACTGAGTCACATATATTTTTAATAAAGCCAAAAAACGTAACTGCTCGAAACCGAAAGCTGCCCGCGGATGTCGGAGAAATATAGAGGAGAGAGTGAGTGCTGGAAGAAGTCACGTAACTACCCCTGACCGTGCGCTTTTTTCTTTTTTTCCCCCTCGTTTTGGCTACGCACAGCAGACAACGGGCATTGCGGGAACTGTTTGTCGTTCGATTCCTTTGCAATTATGTTTGTTCCGCTCGCTGTTCTGCACTTCAAGATAAGTTTTGTATATTAAAGAATTGGGAATGAGTAGTGAGTGCCCGTGGCGAGTTCCCGTGATCGGCTCCGAGAAGAATATCCCCAAGATGTTGCGTGAAGAGCTGCCTCACATGTCCTGCATCCGAAAGTGGCATTATGCGGCAGAGTCTGCACAAGTTTCCCAAAGATAAATGGGATCGGGAACAATGGCTGGCTGCAATTCTTGCAGAACAGTTACGGGTACCTCGGAAAGCAAACGCTAACCGATTTATACGCCCTTGAATTTTGTAGAAAGTGACTACATTAAGTTCGCAGGTGTCAAAAAGGGTCAAACTTTCTGACTATTGGTCAGAAACTTTCTGACTATTGGTCAGAAAGTTTGCTTTGCTGTCGATTTCTCTCCAGTAAAGGCACCCCGGCTCGAAGTCGGGCAGCACCTCGCATTGGCCACATTCGCACCTAGTAAAGAAATCGTACGTGTGCATATTCAACTCAAACTATGCACTTTGCATGAGCGATGTTTTCAGCCACGAGAAGGGGCAACGGCTCGGCGACATCTTCGTGCAAATCGGCTTGGTGGTTGGGCGTGTCGTACGGGATGAATACCACTTCTTTTGATCGGTCCAAAATTTTCTTTTGAAGGAAGACGGATTCGCCGGTACGCGAACTGCAGTTCTGAAGTAGAGGTCCCACGGCCGTCGTCTGCAGCCCTCGCCAACCAGCTCGCGAGTCCCATGATACGCGATACCACGCCATGTTGAGAATTACGTAAAAAAAACCACGAATGCTTCCGGTTCTTTGTGCAACTTTTTTTTTTCCGATCGACTTATTTGCAGCTTTATAGAAGCCACAAAAAATGGGTTTCATTTTTTTTTTTTTTTTCATTTTTAATATTTAGTATTGTAATATTGAGCACTTCAATGACCCACGACTTTGATTAAATTTGGTGGTTGTGTATAAGCCTTGGAACACTGGCCGTGACCACGGAGAAGAGAGTGAGCATGACTCAATCCAGCCAGTTCTCAGTCGGCGGTTTTTGGGGAAAAGAAACAGAATTTCGAGCCGCAAATTCTGTTCTGGGTAGTTGGGCTCTTGTATGTCACATACAACTTAAAACTTTGGCGAACATAAATACCCAGTCAGTGTCCCTTTAAGGCGATACTACAACGAAATTTCAGCGCTTGTTTTTTGGTCTATGTGTTCAAAAGAGCAGTATCACATCGGACACACCACTATCCTGTTATCAAAGACACAAAAAGGAATTTTAAAACAAATTAAACGATTAGCAAAGACTACCTGGTGGATGTCGCTAACGTCTCATTTGTAATGACCGTCTAGGAACCTTGGCAGGTAGTGACGACGTTTCCTCGCCTCCGGCCACTATGAGAGAAGAGGTGGAAGGAGGTCTCCCCGAGAATCTTTTTTGTCTGTCCCAGAAGTCGATATTGTCCATCTACAAGATTATAGAAGGTTAACCCGTCACTCAAAATTCGTACAAAAGCTGCCGTTTCGGTGGCTGGAACGACTTGGCTATCCTCTCGACGGGAGCCTCGCCGCAGCTTTGCTCGTCCCGAGACGAACTACGTCACAATCGCGTTGGATGTCACGTGCTCTCCGATGGCTGCTCTCCGAGTGCTTGCCAGAGTGGGCCGTTCGAAAAATACAGCCACCAGGATCAAAATAGAAACGTGCGATTGTCATTTACGGATATTGTGGATCATATTCAACCTATTTTTGAATGGAACGGGTATATTTCAAATTTCCTTGAAGTATCCCTTTAAGTGCCCAATTCGACAGGACAAACGCCTATGTCTACATTAAACCAGTTTTCAGTGAAAGTGGGGTAGGCACTTCCCCGGTATTTTACAATATACAGGGTGTTTCACTTGTGTGGTTTCGATCCTAGGCCAGGGGCCTATTTCGGAAAATGATTAAAGGTCGGGATAATTAAGTTAATTATTTTTGCATAAATAATTTTTTAAATATTGAGTTTAAGGGCATGGTTTGAATCAGAATCTTGCTGAGTATCATCGAAAAACACTAAATCAAGAAATTGTCGACCGATAGAAAGCTGCATTTTATGCATGCAAAAGTTGAAAAGTTGCCGTTGGACTATTCCTTTCAATGGGTTCTTGTGTTTGCTTCGTGGAGGTGGATGTCACTTCTCTTCTGTAGCACAAAAAAGCCTGAATCCTCGCCACCATTCGAACAGGGCCTAGGGTGGTGTCGCACGAGCTGACAGTTTCTTCCCCCTTTTGCAGCTGCCGCTGCCCATCTGGCTTCCACGGTCCGCAGTGCCAGCAGACGACCCGGCACTTTAATGGCAAGGGCTGGGCCTGGTTCCCTCCGCTGCAGCAGTGCGAGGAGTCGCACCTGAGCCTGGAGTTTATGACGGACCGAGCCACAGGGCTGTTGCTCTACAATGGGCCGATCTCGCGGCCCGACCCCGGCGAGCTGGTCATCCAGGACTTCATCTCGCTCGAGCTGAACGGTGGCAGGCCTCGGCTGCTGCTCGACTTCGGGTCGGGCACGGCGGAGTTGCTGGTGCAGGTGGAGGAGGCCCTCAATGACGAGAACTGGCATCGGCTGGACGTCTTCTGGGACCGCCAGGTAAGCGCCCTGGCCACCCACGGGTCCAAATATTGGTGCCCAATGTGGGGGGTGCGTTCATTATGCAAGTAAATCTGGTATAATTTCTTTTGCAATTTATGTACACAAATGAAACTTCGTACTGCATTCTGCATTGCAACTGCCAGTATATACCGTAAAATTCAGTCATATTAAGCCGAATGTTCAAAAGTTGACCTTTTTGTGTAGTGTCCTCCCTTGAATTAAAACGAAACTTTCACCTTTAAAAAAACAAAGAACAAAACAAACATTCTACGTATATTGTTTTGCTTCTCGAGTAAGTGCCGTGTTCGTGCAAGGGCTGAACTCATTGTTTGAGTTGTCACTGAAGTACCGTTGGGTGTGAGCACTTTTTGTTTGAATTGCAGTCCGTTCGGCTGATGGTGGACAATTGCCTGTCAGCCCGCACGCACGAGGGGAACCAGACGATTGACCGGTCACGCTGCGAGAACAGCACCCAAGTACCCGAGTTCAACGAGTTCCTCAATGTGAACACGCCCCTTCAGCTAGGCGGCACCCATGTCGGGGGAAAGGACCTTGGTGCCTATGCCTGGCAGTACCGGCACACCACCGAAGGCTTCCAGGGCTGCATCAAGAATGTCATCCACAACAGCGAGGTACTCTGATCCTTTCTGCTTACCAGACTGCTTCGATATGCTGTATACTGCCAAACGTAGTTGCAACAAAGGCGACAGGAATCGGGAATATGTTCGCTGCATGCATGTTTCGTTATATCTGGACTTTCCAAAAAAAAATCTTTTTTTTTTTTTTTGCATTGTTACTCATTCTCGTGTAAGCTTCCGTTGAACTCTGACAGTTCTGACACATTAATGTTACACCTGCATGGATAGCTGTGAAGTGGTTTTTTAATTGATTGAAGCAAAATGTGAGAAAGTGGCAGTTCTGTGCAACTTTGCGTAACGCTTGGCTCGTCTATGCACTTTTTGCATCGGCTTCCCTTCACGGTTGCCCATTTTGTTTCAGATGTATGACTTGGGATCACCCGGCAGTTCATACAACAGTGTGGCAGGATGTCCTCCAGCAGAGAGTTCGTGCAGCGAAGCAGCTCTGCTACACCAGTCATGTGGGCACGGCCACTGCCTGGGCACCTACAAGGGAGCTGAATGCGTCTGCGATCCTGGCTGGCATGGGCCCAACTGTGACCGAGGTGAGGCTACTCGCCAGTTGGTGTTTGTGGCTGTCTAGAGATGCTTTGGGAATGCACCTTTCGAGCTATTGAGGGTTTTTTGTTACTTTGCCTTAAGTGTGGATGCATCTTTGATATGGGTGGGGTACCCAGTGCTCAGCGTGCTAACCCTTGCATGTTCAAAAATACTTAGCAGCGAAGGGATGCTGAATGTGTTCCTTTGGTGAAGGGTGAAATAAACTGGGCTCGTAAATATTGCTGGGCTGACACGTTTTATCACTGTTAATTGGGCCAGAAAAATTAGTACTTACACGTAGCAAATTAAAATTTTTTTCCTAAAATATATTTTACTGGTTGGTTTTACCTTGCAAGATCTTGGCACTTGGCTGTAAAAACAAAAAATGTAATCCTGTTTAATTTTAAACTGGGGGCTAAGACCCTGATGGAGGATGGTGACGTTTTCAGTTCTTCCAAGGTTGGTACTCCATGCTTCCCAGCTTCGTCTATCTAATTAGTATACCAAGTGACACTCATTGCCATTGCAAAATATGAAGCAAAAAAGACCACTAAAATGCACCTGGACCTATGTTTACCGTGACACCGAACAGAACAACCCATAATACTAAATTTAAAAAAAAAAAAAAAAAAAGTTTTGAGGACCCTTAGGCATTTCTGATGAGTTGTGAATGCGAAAGCATTTATGTCCAATTGAACACCGCTGCATGCTCATCGCTGGTGACTGCTGTACCGCTGGGTGAGGCAGCGGTGGGAGTGCGAATCTCAGCGCGGCACGAGCTAAAATCATGTCCTCATCATCGCCCTAGGTGCGGGTACTGGTTAATGACATTAGACCTCAAAGCGTAATTTTTAGGCCTGACTTCAGGCCAGCGCATACTCGCGTCTCCCCCTCACGTCAAACAGCTGCGCGTACCTTTTGACGACGTTAGACCTCAAGGCGTAACGATAGGCCTAACGTCGGGCCATCGCGTACCCACACTTTTCCTTCCCGTTACGCCACCAGCAGGTCGGTTGGCTCCTTAGCAACGATGACGCCGTTGCTATGAAGCCACATGACGCGTCGCAACCAATGGTAATATAGGTGTCATTTTGCCCAGCCGGAATTTGGGTGCAGTTTCACTCCGCCAATGGGTATTTAGTTGCCATTTTTTGCTGCTACAGACATCAGACAACGCCGGCTTCTCTCCATCATGACAGTAAATGCTTTCTCGTTAAAAAGCAGAAGGGACAGTTCATAAAGCAACCATTGTGTGAAGGGCACTCTTCATTTAAAAATCTGTATACATGTTTCTAAGTTATCTCTTCCCAGCATTAACTTCTTCGTGCTTGTTTAAGGTGAGATGAGGTTCAGAGCTTTCTTTCTTGCATTTATGGAAGGATATTTACCACATCGATAAAAAAACTGCGCCGACTTTGCTTAACAAGATGAACAATTTAATCAAATGTTTCGTCTCCCATGCGGGAAACATCAGTGAAACCTTCAAGCAGGAATGAGCGAAAAAACTTCAACAGTCCTATTTAAGCAAGTCCGCGTACACATGTTTTCTTCTTTGAAGCTTTCCCCTTGCCCTTTTAGCGACTTCCTTTGAACTTGTGTGTCGTACAAAACTTCCGAGCTCAAAAGTCGCGTTTTCAGTCGACGTCCATCGCAAAGAAAGCAGAATGATCGAACAAGTCGTTGGTTCTGGTATCCAGGGCAGTGCGACGCTAGAACCGCAAGCAAGCTTCACCACGCAGCACGTTGCTCTCGGGCAATGGCGGGGCCACAATCGCATCACATGATTTTAAAAGTCCATTTGCAACGCGCGTTTGCAGCGGGAAAAACATTTATTTCTTATTATTTGCAACCAGAATATGAAACTATTGATGACAGTTTCGGAGTGAAAACGGCTAGGCCTATGCGCCGAACTAAACGCAATGGTGGGTGACGCCGCGTCCCAAAGAATCTTGCGCTCGAAAATGGCTCAGATTTGCGCTGTTTTCCATCGCGAGACAGGCTTCAAACTCATGTGTGACTAATTTTGCAATGAAATCCGATCTTGATTTTTTCATACGCAATAGAGGAAGGTTCAAAGACAAAAGAACACTAAAAAGTGCAAAATCACTTTTTTTTTTTAAAAATCACCGTTTTTCGACTTGCATCTTCCCTTAAGCTTGCATCACCAATACTTTCAATATTTTGTTGGATGTTCACAGTAGATTGGTTCACAGTGTTTTTCATATTTAATGATTCAAGTAGGAGTTCAATTATGGAGATTGTTTTCAGTACTCCATCTGTAGCTGTTGCAGCATTTTCCGAAAGCTGTGAATCAACATCTGGTTAAGCCCCCTTTCACAAGGAGCACCCATCATGCATACCGGCTACATCTGTTTTCATTCTCTCATTATTGTGTCATGTGCTCTTCCACTGGCTTTCTGCAGAAACCCAGTCAAAGATGTTCCAGCAGAGCAGTTACATCAAGTATGCTCTGCCCTTCGACCCACACCCATACAAGACTGACATCCAGCTACAGTTCCGCACCCGTCAGAAACATGGGGAACTTTTCCGCATCACCAGCAAGCATGGAAGGGAATACTGCATCCTTGAGGCGAGTTTTCTGCCACTTTTTGCTCGTGCAGTTGTACGATTCTGCTCTCATAGGCGGTTCCTTTGACTGCAATGGTTGTTTGCTTCTCTGCTTGTAAGCCCCAAGCTAGTATTTACTGTAAACTACCGAGCAAGTGCCTACTCAATATTTGGAGATAATCTTGAAAAGCACTCATTAGGTCCAAGTGCAAAAACTCAGAAGTTAAACATGATAGGGTGGGCTTCACTGCTTTGCACTCGCGTGCTCGGAGAAGCAGCTATCACGGAGGAACATCTCAGTTAGCTGACGATAATGGAATTAATGCAAAGGTACAAGTGAACTGGGAAAAAATAACAATAATATTTCCTGGAGAAGGGGTACAAAGGACAAATGCAAAACTCCAAACACAGCTAGGTGACTGATGCATAACTGAAAAAAATTCCTTGTTCCCCCTTGTTGGTGTTAGACGGGTGGCAGCTGTTAAAACCTGTTTGCTCCACTGGAAATGGAGAGGTCCCTAGTTCAATACCTGGAGTAGGCAATTTTTTTCAGTTGCGCACCAGTCACCTAGTTGTGTGTGGAAATCTGCGTTTTTGGCCTAAGTTCCCCTTCTCCAGGGATCATTATCATTGTTCAGTTAGCTGGGTGCTCGATATATCCTTTGCTTTTTTTTTCTTACCTGTCATAAGTAGCGTGGGCACTTCTTTCGACTTGGGTGGGTGCTCAGTATTTTACGGTTGTCAAGAGCCTTTGGTACTTTTTCTGAGGTTGGAGTTGGCAGTGCTGTTGGCAGAATTTGATGGAAATATAGTACCACAGGAAGAGAAAGGAAGAGCATTCGTGATACTTTTGTTTCAATGGCTCCATCTGTATTCCTGGGGCTATGGTTTCTTTTAATGGAGGTTAGACGTTGCTTCTGGACAAATTCTGTCTGGGAGGTGCGAGACGACGAGAGGAGGGGCGTCCCTTTCTTACCACCGTTGTGCTTGGCTCTAGATCCGGGACAAGAAGTTGCGGTTCCGTTTCAACCTGGACCGCAGCCGCACTTCGGACGAGCGTGAGCTGTGGCTGCCCTGGGTGTGGGTGAACGACGGTCAGTGGCATACAGTGCGGGCACTACGCCACGGGGCGTCGGCCAGCCTGGCGTTGGACGGAGGCTCGGGTCGGCGTTACAACGAGCTGGTGGACTGGCATAGTCCCCACCAGCACATGTGGGTGGAGAAGCAGAACGTCATTGCGGGGGGAGACGTGCAGTATGTTGGCCCCGGAGTGACGGTCGTCGACAATGACTACCAAGAAGGTTTGTGGCTTTCCATGATTACCGACAGGAGTGCATTCAATAACTTCGCTCGGTGAAGGCCTCCTCGAGGCTGATTTCTTTACGGGGGAGTTAGAGGAGTGCCATCGCAGAGCTATTTCATTATCATACTTTTTTAGCTATTGGCCTCGAGATCGACCTAGAGGTGGCGCCACTACTGTCACGCAGTTATCATCATCAAAGCAGGGATAGAGGCATGGCCGCCTCACAGGCTCTCCACTTTGCGCGCGAGACAGTATACCGTATTTACTCGAGTTATAGCCACACTATTTATGAACAAGGCCCTTGCTTCTACTTTTCCGCAAAGCACATATACAGCCAATCATCGCGTTGCACATAAATAACAAAAGCGAATAATTAAATAGAGAACACTATTTTCCATACAAATGCAATCTTCACAGATGGGATCTCCACGCAAAGGCGTTATCTCTGTCCTGTAAACCGCTGGATTCAAGTTTTCGATCGCGATGATTGGCAATCAGCATGCTCCGTGGAAAAGTGAACGCTCGGGTTTTTGGCATGAACAGTGCGGCTATTACTCGAGTAAATATGGTAGATTCTTGCGTTTATTTTGTCATAAGGTATTGGTGATAAAACAATTTTAGCAGGAAATGATTCAGTACTGTTTGATGCTTCAGTGAAAATCGAATTGTGTTACCAACTTACAGCCTATATTTAAAAACTGCACTATTTATGTTAAATATTTGTTCCTGTTAATATAGATGTATCTGTTCACCAGCGTGGGACTCAACAAAACAATGAATTCCAACCCGAATAAAATAATACTGGTACTGTGGGCTGTGAAACAGCGGGTTCTATGCATTTTCTTTTTTTTTTTTTTTTTTTACTTTTAGCTTTTGCAGTAATATAAATATTTTTCATGAAGAGAAGTTAGTACTGTATTGGAAATTACTGTGCTATTTAGTTCTGCTGCAGCCAATGTTTCCTTTACTGTGCCATGGTGAGGTTAAGTTTTTCAGAGTTGGAACAATTGTACTACGTTGTGATGAGGAGAGGGTGCCTCTTCTAGTTATGATCCGCAAACTGTTTGTTGGCGGAACAGCTGAAATAAGTGAAACAAACTGTTCTAATATATCTGCTGCGAGTGCAACAAACGAGTGTGACCGAGCAACGTATTAGCCATGCGTATTATTAGGTAGTTTTCTCTGTAGTGTGGGTCCACCCGCTTCAGTTGTCTCAGTGAGGGCCGTGGATGTCAAGAGGCTAATATTATAAATTTATGCCTAAATATGGTAATCTTCTATTCAAACATAGTAGTCTCTGCAACTCCAACAAACGACTCGCACACCGACACAGACAGCACCGGCCGCAGCCACACTCCTTTACTGTTAAGGGCTAGCGACTCTCACTAGACTTTCCGATCACCCTCCGCTCTTTTAACGCATATCGGGAGTGGGGAGTTCATCGATTAACCTTCAGATTATTCGAGTGGTGCTTGTATTGCGATATTTCTTTTTGCCGTTTAATCGGAATCTGGTGCTGGAGAAAGTCAGGATAAAGTAAGAAATGCCTGGTTTATATTGCTGACATATTTCTTGCTTTTAGGACACGAGCTTGCACGGTAACCCACTTCGGCGTGCTTGTGATTTTCATTGACTATGACTATACTGTTTCAATAATATTTAAAAAATTACTTCACTTTAAAAGGCTTCCCGTGTTCATATTTCTGTAGGCGTCGCAACATGAAGTTTAAAATAGGAATGGCAATCTGTCATTTATGACATAGTAAAAATAGCAAAAAAAATGTGGTTTTAACGTCTTTCATGTAAAATGACTGGAGAAGAATCAGCAGATTTTTTTACTGATTAGTCTATTAAAGTGTGGCAATCAGTCGGGTTAATTTGTTTTGAACCCTCAGCTCCAATCAATATTCAACTATTTACGAAAGCTATGGATTGTGCGAGATAGCAAAAATATGTAGGACCAAAGGTTCTACAAACCACAGCACCAACATTACGGAAACATCCGACTTAATATTTATCGTGTTGCTGAATTTCCACGCATGTGAAACGATACAACACAACTTTTAGTAAGAAGAAACAACAACAAAACCATCAAACATTTAATAAGGAGGGTCCAGCTCAGCCGGAAATGGGCTTGAGTCGTCCAGATCCATGCTTCTGAACGTGCGCCGGTAGCAGACGACACACAGTCGTATTCCCGCTTTCGCATGTTTCCAATTTTGGCCGCATGGTGGCGACACAGTTCGATCTCGAGGTGAATACATTTCATTCACTGTAATGTCTGTAGGATGATGATAATGATGATACCTTTGTCGCGTTGCATTTGAATTTATAGCACTGCCGTTTGCATTGCAGGATGTATGAATGACATCCGCTTGGACCAGCACTATCTGCCGATGGAGAGTGGTTCGGAATATGCGGCTGTGGTCGAGTGGCGCAACTTGATTGACGGCTGTCCGTCCAATAATCCTTGCCACGGGATCAGCTGCCCACGACCGTTTGTTTGCGTCGACCTGTGGATGCTTCACGAGTGCAAGTTAGTGCCTCTCCTCTTGCTCTTCCCTTTGCTGTGGTCACTGATGGGTCACGAACAACAGGGTATCTCCTCCTTTATTGTGACACAATCATTTAGTTGGGTTGTTTTCTGTGATCTTTAAACATGTTGCTCCGAAGCGCCTTGAAATGGTTGCGCTTGGGGACTTGTGGTATCTGGTTGTTCTTCACATGTCAGTGACTGAAAGTGAGAAACTTTTTGTGGGAGTTTTCAGCACCATGAACTTTGAAAATGAAAGCTTCCTTAAAGAGTTTTTTTTTAATTATTTTTGAGGGGTAGTGCAACGATTTTAGTGTTCAAACAATTTGTGGTTTGTATTTTTTATATTGTTTATTTAGGCACAAGTGAGAAAGAATGAACCACCTTCCCTTGGAAAACTGCTATTTCGCTGCGTAATCGCAAAAGAAAAAACTGATTATTTGCCAACCTGCGGCCGCATGTGGCAATTATGGGAACTACGGTGGCACGTCACTGGGGTACATATGAAAGTCAATGAAACCTGTCCCCCTCTCCCCTGCTACACGCACCAGCAACCCTGTGGCGAATAGCCTTTTGTGTCGATCACTCGCCACGACCTTCGGCGATGCTAATCCCTGAAACGTTGACAATTGGGGAGGGAGCGGCTGACCAGGTGGTTTCCCAAAAACGTCGCTCGAAAACTAGCATGTGCAGGAAAACATAGTTTTCTGTTCTTTGCTCTATAGGTGACGCAGATTAATTCCTGCAGTTGCCGTATTTACACGATTGTAAGTCTACTCGATTGTAAGTCGGATCACGCGTGTCAATACAGCATAATCTCAACATTGCACACAGCAAAAAAAAAAAAATCTTTAGAAGCGCAATTTACTGCGAACATGTGAGAACAACAAAGTATCTGTTTTGAAAGCCAAGCCTCCAGCATGCGATCGATGCCTTCTGGCGTGCTTTGGCTGCGCACGGACGCGCACCATATGCCCAGGCGTCATTGAAACTAGGAAGCTCACGCCAGAGGCGGGACAACTGAAACTGCTCCCTGTCGTTCTTACTCCGTCTCCGACTAGACTGCGACTCGTCTGCACTGGTGATATTAGTCCCGTCGTCTTCACTGCTACGTTCTCGAAGCACGTCACCAGCGTCGTTCACAGCATCAACCGCATCTTCCGCGCTTGCTTGGCAATCGCGTTGCACGTCACGGGTAGGGACCGATTGCGCACTTTTGCGGCGTACGTTGCAATCCTGACCTCCAACTCCGGAAGGCATCCCCACCTATCCAGACTTTGGCCTGTGGAAGCCTGTTCGTTTGCCATCACAGTTTAAGATCCCATGCCATTGCAGACTCCACAGGACCATCACCCGCTCCAACGGGTCGAATGTGCATCCAGCAGCACAGTTGTTGGTTGCTTCTGGGTGAAGAAGGGCCATAAACAAGCACCGAAAACCTAAACTGCCCGGGTCACGCAAGTCAATACAGCATGATCTTGACACTCAATGAAACGACGTGCGACCATGAATCGTGCGGAAAGAAGCCGCGGGGAGTGAGCCGTGAGACTTTTCCAGCGGCTTTCCGAGTGGCTCTTGCAAGAAGTGTCGCCACCCCCCCGGGAGTCGGGCGCACCGTGCGCTGTTCACAGCCGTACATTCGGGTTAATTTGCGAAACGCTATCAACAATACTCGTTCGTGCAAATAAAAAATAAAATAATTTGTAAAATGAGCGCACAGAATAGCGCAATGCTAGAGGTACATCCGGCTAAACTCGTAACAAGCCGAGGTGTTCATGATATTGCGATTGTTTCGTTTTTGCCGGCGATCGAATGCTTTGGTGCGATTATAAGTAAACACCCCCCCACTTCAGATTTTTAAAAATTGAAAAACGGGTCGACCTACATTTGTGTAAATACGGTAATTGGCTCAAGTCCAAAAATCGTTGCACCGCCCCTTTAAGCTCTTTCTATCAGCTTCAGCTGCCTTTGTGTGTTTTTTGGACTTCCAATATTTTCCAGCCAAGTGTTAGAGTATTTTAACCACCCAGTGTAACAGAAAAAATGGAAAGAATCTTATATGTTAATATACACATGTAGGCATTTGCACGGGTCATGGTCATTAACCCTTTAAGTGCCTTGGACGAGCTGAGCTCATTGGCCGCTTTCTAGTTAAAAATGCCATGAACGAGCTCAGCTCGTCCAATGTTTTTTTCGGTTGCCCTCAATTCCACGGACGAGCTAGGCTCTTCCGAGTAGTTTGGGGCGCTGATCATAGATGGCAGCACTCGCTTTAGTTGGTGCCTTTTTTTTCGCCGCCGCTGATTTTTGCTTAATAAATTAAAATTGTATTTGTAATACTAAAGAAATAAAAATTCTGAATAAATAAAATATTGGCATTTTTAGGTTACTTAAAAAAAATTGGCACTTAAGGGGTTAAAAGGCTAAAAAACTAAAGGCATGCAGTTATGCCCTTATTTTTTTTTGCAGTTTTAGTAAAAGGTAGAAAAAAGTAAGGCACAGTTAGTTTCCATCAAATATGGCAGCAGGTTTGAGAGCAAATATGTGTTCTGAAGAGTAGATCAAAATTCAAATCTCAACTTTTAGGCATGGCATCAATAGTATTCAGTTTCGCGTAGGCTACTGTTATACATGAATGCAATATTATGTTAGACCTTTGTCTGGTCACTTGTATCTAGTCACTTCATACTTCCCCCTTTACCTAATCATAGCCATGCCCATTTTTGTCTGGTCTTTTACTTTCATATTCACATCACTGCAGCCATAGGTTTTGTGATCTTACGAACGGGTGTTAGGTGATAGCTCCAGAGATCCTCTTTTACTTTAAATGCTCACTTGCATCAGTATGCTTTGTAGGTTTTCCAAATAATTGCTTATGCTTATGTTTTCTTAAATTTGCTGTTTGTTACTACAGTCAAATCTCGTTAATTCACTCTTAAATCAAACTAACATACAGGTCCCATCCTATGTGTCGTCTCTATGGGAGGAAACTGGCGGTAATTCAAACTTTGCTTTATTCAAAAAAATTTTCGGTCCCACTCGAGTTTGAATGAACGAGATTCGACTGTACTAGTGTTGGCAAGGTACCTACCGTAAAATACCGGGCAAGCGCCCACTCAAAATTAAGAGATAATCGCGAAAAAATGGGGGATGGGCGCTTGTCCAGTCATCAATTTGACATATCAATGTACTGTGCATATTTTCCAAGATCTTAAAAATTTGGGTATGGGCGCTTAGCGTGGTATGGGCGGATGCACGGTATTCTACGGTACCTATATGGCATGCTTGGCATATGATGGTTGAAATGGAGTCGTAGAGCATTAAAGATAGCATATTAGTGTTGTTGGTTTTTAATTTTATTACTGTTTGATAGAAGATTATTTCTAAAATCATAATGTAAATACTATAGATTCTTTTCAAAAGCTTGCCTAGCTACAACTGAAACTGCTGTCATTATAGGAATGGCACGACAAACTCGTACAGTTGCAATAGCAGTTCATTCATCACTTCCTCATGCACCACTGTGTGATGCCATTAATTTATTAGTGTATTTTTTGACAATTCGTAATAGAAGTTGCCAGTAAACTTCCTACGAGACATAGCACTCAGAATTTTTACATATTGTCACATGTTTTTAAAGGGATACTGAACCGAAATTTTGAGCTCACAAAATAAGGCTGGAGCAATATGCAGGACGCTGCAAAACCCAAAAACGTCGCTCGTACAGCAATATCTCCAACAAATGGCCGTAATTTTGGAAAAGAAGTGCGCGATTGAACACGGCCGTCAAGGCCGACTAGACATGTCACGTCACGATTCTCATTCTCTTTCCTCTTCGCTTCGTCCCCTCGAGCTGGTGAACCAATATCGATGTACAAGTGATGTTTTGGAGTTTGTAGCGTCCCGTTCAACGCTTCTCCGGCCTAATTTTGCGAAATCGAAATTTCGAAATTGTACTGACAATGCTAAGGCAGTGTTTATTTTTTCTCAGTGAAAATTTTTGTTTTGCATTTTCATTACGAATTTTTTTTCAATTAATTATTATTTTATTAAGTTTAATTTAGCGTGGAAACCGATTCCTAGGGAATAGAGCAGATAGACCAAATAAAATAGTTTGATTATTACTAGTAGCACATTTGGTACAAATATGAATGTTAACCTCGGTTAATTGGTCGCTATAATTGACTGAAAGAAAAGTTAATGTAAAACAGCTGCATTCCCGCTTCACTTGGAACTCTTGCATAACCATAACTCGCATGCTAATTAATTGCCTTGTTTAGTGCTGAGTGGTGGTGATGGTGTTTTTGCTGGTGTGCTTGAAAGTGGATTCTGGCAAACTGCTCACTAATACGCCCACTTAACTTTGTTGCTGCATTCAATGCTGGTTATGGAAGAATCAATTGGGAGAAATTATATTTGGGTTTTGTGTGCTTGCAAGGACAAGTATAAACTTAAATGCTCGAAAAAAGAAAAAAATGCCCAAAAGGGAATTTCCAGGAAACAGCTAACGTTGCGCTACAGTACCGTAGAGAAGCTATGTCTGTTATGTAGTCCACTACTGTCCTGGCACTTTTCCAGGTTGTTCCTTTTAGAAACTTATACTTTGCTCTTGGCATTATTTGCAGAAAGCAAACTAATGTATAAAGCATGGTGCTCGTTATTGTTAGCTTTTTAGTGTAGTTTATTGGGTGAATCTATTCAAAATATTTTACTTCACCTAAGATTTTTATACAAATTCAAATCTAAATATTGTTTCTGTTGCAAGTATTTATCTCCACATTTTAATGGTTACATTTCTGTGATCTTGTCTGGTGCCCTGGATAAGAAGTAGGAGAGAGGATATATTTGAAGAATTAGCTAGCTGCTTTAGATGTCGGTGTCTTATTTCAAAGTGCCTTAGCTTTCGTCAAGACTAAAACAGCTTCATTTCTTTCTAAGCAGTTTCTAACATTGGGCTTTTAACCCTCTTTCTCTTTTTACCCTGATCACCCTCTCTCCTTCCACCCTTTTCTTTTTCTGCTTTATGCCATTTGATCTTTCTCACGTCTTTTACCTTTTTGTACTTCCCTTTTTTTTTTTTCATATGTCGCATAACTTTATTTCCACATCTCTACCTTCACGACTCTGTCATTCTTCTCTGTCGTTCTCTCCTTCGCTGTTTTCTCGTCGACTTGTCGTCCGGTCCTTGCTCTCGGTTTCTTCTCGTTGCTTTCCTTTCCCCTCTTGTCCCCTTGTGCCTCGCCCCCTCTCCCCCCCCCCACCTCTTCCTGCCTGTGGTTGCTGCGTGGGTGGCAGGTGCTCCCCGGGCTTTGCCATAACCGAGAACGGCAAGAACTGCACTGATGCCGACGAGTGCCTGAGCGAGCCCTGCCTGAACGGGGGCACTTGCATGAACCGCCCCCATGGCGAGGGCTTCTACTGTCTCTGTCCCGACGGCTTCGGGGGTGACCTTTGCGGCGCACTGCGCCAGGAGAAGATTATGCGTCTCAGCATGGCTGCCCTGGCTGCCATCTTGGTCTGTCTGCTCAACATCCTCAGTAAGTTCCTCTCCTCCAATACACGAGGCACCGAGGCAGTGGGACACGCACGCGAGGTTTCCATAGAATCATCGATAGAGAGGCTTTGCAGTTGGTTGAGGTCATTAGTTGGTTGCCAAAAGTGTTTTGCTGGCACTCAAATATCCAGTAAATGTATAGATACAAGCAAGTAACCGATTCAATGAAGACAAATTAAACCCGGGTACCCGTAACGAGAATTTTTCGGAAACTTGAACTCTCACTGACAAACTTGCTCCAAAGCCTGTCATTTGTTTGGTTGCCTGGACTTCCTTGACAGCTGCGCATACTTCGTTAAATTTTTATCTAATGTTCACAAACTGTGCATGCGCAGCATTGAAACGGCATTCAGTCAATCGAAGGAAGGGTTTCAGGGATGTGATTACGGCACGTCGGACCTTGGTGAGGGGCCCGTTGTTGCCGCGGGAAAGGGTTTGGGTGGCAAGAATGCTCTGGGCCAATGCTCTGGGCCAATGCACGGGGTGCCAGGTGCGTGGAAGGCTTCACTCCCACGGAAGACCGGCTGAGCTGCGAAGACCTGGACGAGTGTCTGGAGGAGCCATGCGGCCATGCGGGCCATTGCGAGAACCTTCCGGACGGCCAGGGCCACACGTGCCTTTGCCGGGAGAGCCTGCACTGCCACAACTGCAGCTGTTTTGATGTGGGCGCTGGGGCACGCATGACCAACACGTCGCTGGCCCTGGGACTCGAGGCCCTCCTCATAATCCTGGCGTGTCTCGGGGTGTATCTGCGTAAGGGAAAGGGGCCTCTCGAGTGGAACCCTGCTTCTTGTTTTGTGGGCCCTCCCGACTGTTCTGGTTTCCCACAATGATTGGTGAACAGATGTTGCATTGGCCTCTGGGCAAAAGTGCCAGCAAACTAGCATTACTATCGTGTGTGGAAGACTCAAGGGTGTGTAGATTCAAGTCTGTAGACTCAAGCATGCTACACATACAGATGTGTCGCATGTTTGAGTCTGTAGTATGTGTAGCATGCTTGAGTCTGTAGACTCAAGCATGCTACACATACAGAAGGTTGCGTGCTGCACAGTTTTGTCACATTTGGTCTCGGAAGCAAGGCCTTTGTGAGAAGATTTTAAAATTTAAACATTTTTGCTTTGTACATTTTGTAGAAATCACTGTATTTTCTTTCATGATTAACTCGGTTCGTTTGCAGATATTTATCTTGAGTTTATGCAACAGTCATAGGAACAATGTTTCAACAAACATTCTTTCTTGTGAGAAACTAACATAGTTTTTATGACGTGGCGATGGTGCGGATGATATTTGGCACTGTGCGAAGCAGACATATGCAATAACCAGCTTAATATAGTCGGACTCAATTTTCTTTGCTTTCGGTTTTCCAGTTAGCTTTGGACAATACCGTATTTCCTCACATAATGAACGCACTCGCATAATGAATGCACCTCCCACAACGGGTACCAATATTTGGACTTTTGCACCTCCAATTTTCGGCTTCGCATAGTTGCGGAAGTGATCAACTGCGAAACTGAGCAGCGCGCACACTTGACGAAGCTTGGGTCGAGGAATCGCCCAGCCCCGGACATTCTTCGCCTATCGGATGCATTGATGTCAACAAACACGCCGTCGTCTTTGTTCCGCTTTCGGAGAGTGAAATAGTGAAAGTGGTTAGGCCTAAAACGGTCACGTTGCTCTCCATGTTGAGTGAGCTTCTAGGGTACTTTTCCTTCGGCAAAGGGCACGCCGAAAGCGCCCTAAAAAGGTTCGCAATTTATAAGGCATGGTTACTGTGGTGCGCCCCCGAGCAGCCATGGGTGCGCCTCCATCAGTGGAGACGTGCCACAGTACCTTGCCATGTCATACTGGCACCTAATATGACATTTACACAAAGTGTGTAAATTCAAAAATTTTTTCCTGCGTAATAAATGCACCCCCCCCCCCCCCCCCCAAAAAAAAATGTATGTCAATTTTTCGGCAAAAAAAAGTCTGTCATTATGTGAGTAAATATGGTGTCAGATTCAAATTACTGACTGATCATATAACTCATTTCCCCCCCCCCCCCCCCCCCAAAAAAAATGTATGTCAATTTTTCGGCAAAGAAAAGTCTGTCATTATGCGAGTAAATATGGTGTCAGATTCAAATTACTGACTGATCATATAACTCATTTCCCCATAGCTTATGAACAATGTTTTAGCTTCAGTACTACAGTTCTATATTTTCCACTGCAACTAAGAAGGATTTTGATATTTAAAATTAATAGCTTGAATAACCTGCACATCCTGGTTTGTTCAACTGTTTGCATCGTCCTTTTTTGCAATTGTTTGCCACTGTCCTTGTTTTGTAGCCCAGAGAAAAGGAAAGGGTCAAGACAGGTATAGGTTTTCTCCACTGGGCAACTCACTACCACAAATGAGGAATCCAAAAATGCTTAAAAGAGCTAACTCTAGACATGATCATTTATTTCGGAATGGGATCATTTATTTCGGAATGGGAAGGTAAAGTGAAACATTGACACCTGGTTTTCTCTTTTGCCATGGTAGGACTCTTCATAGGCCAGTTCTGTAGAAAAATATTCTGGAGGGCTCGAGCACTACTCTTGCCAGTTCTGCATAATGGAGGTTGAGCAAGGAAGCCATTTTATGCTAAGCCAATAGAAGAGGGCCTTCCGCTTTTTTTTTTTGTTTTTTATACATTAAAAACAGGCGGGGAGCACAAACCTCAAATCTTTACGAGCTCTGCAGTACTGTTCGCTACCTGCGAATTATGGTTAGATTACAGCAGATGTATTATAACCACTTCCATAATTACTTCGAAGTAGTTGAGTAGTATGAACAAGATATGCAGGGTTCGTGCAGCTCCTTGAATACCCGGGATTTAAATGAAGGCTTTTCAAGGGCCCTTAAATTTCCTTCAAAGTTAGAATGCTACTTGTATCTCTTGAAAATCCAGGAATTGACATGTTTTTGCGAATTACTGCAGTTTGTGAAGTTCGCTCACGGGAGGCGTACGCGGAAGCATGGACGGAGTGCAAGCAATCAAATAACATTAATAAAAATAAAAAAAGCTATGTGCTTGTTTTAGAAACATTGATTTGCATGAAAGGGAATGCACTTCGCTTACTCATTCGTGCTGTGGCGATGCAATGAGTGGTGGCGCCTTGTGGCATGCAAGAATATCACGGGAGAAAAGAGTTTTCCCGGTTGCCTTGGCAGCCGACATGGTGCCATACTTTTTTTTGCCGCTAGATGCATTGCCGACACACTGTCCACTGGAAAATGCATTGGTTTTTTTTTCTAAATGTGCCCGATGTGTGCACGGAAAACATATTTGACAAATTTAATCGGGCTAGGATTGTATCTCGCAGATTTCGTTGTGAAGCCGCCAACTTTCATAAATCCTCGTCATGATTGGCCATGCAACATGCGTATGTTCTAAACGGCGCTTTAATGCAATCCAAGGCGTCCAGTGTCGTCGGTATTTTTGCTTTGTGTTGCCTTGAAATTTGCGTAAAAAATTCTGTACAAACCCTGTACAATGTCAAAAGTAGCTACCATAGAATACCGTGCATTCGCCCATCCCACACTAAGCGCCCATACCCGAATTTGTAAAATCTGAGAATATATGCACAGTACATTGATATGTAAAATTGATGACCGGACAAGCGCCCATCCCCCATTTTTTCGCGATTATCTCTAAATTTTGAGTGGGCGCTTGCCCGGTATTTTACGGTAGTTCCCATCTCTATTTGCCGTTTTGAGTTTGTGGGAAGTGGAGCTTGTGTTTGCGCTTTGAGCTCTTAAATGATCTATAGCAGGGATGCTTAATCTCACAAGGTAGTATTCTTATGAATCACATCTATTTGTAACCCCTTGGTGGTAGTCATAATTACCTTTAATCAAAATAGAACTTCCAGTTGCAGGCTTTATTCTGCATGAAATATTAGTTGTATGGTATCGGAACATGCTGGGATCATTGATTAAGTCTGCAGGGTGGAGAATTTCAGCAATAATCTCATTTCAAGAAAAACAACCAATTTAAAACAAATAATGGAGATTTAACTTAAACCAAGTTCACTTTTATTTTGGAGGTTAGAAAGTTTGCAAACCATTGGTCTCCGCACATATTTTGTTTTAGTATTTTTATTTGTAATTTGTTCTTAAAGGCCACTTTGAGAAATAGTATGTTAGGGTAATATACCTGCCGACATGTTTGAACTGCTAAGAGTGACAGTCCAGCTCTCAAGGGCTTTGAAGTAGAGTTCTGAATAACTCCTCAACATGTTTGGATGTCACTAATGCCTCCTACTCTTCTCCTTGCCTCCGTCTGCAGTCCTGGTGCTGGTGATTGTGGCATACACTCGTAGCCGTCGATCTGACCAGAAGTTTGGCCATGGTGGGGTGGACGACGATGTGCGCGAGAACATCATCAGCTACGAAGACGAAGGTGGTGGAGAAGATGACATGAATGCCTACGACATCACGCCCCTTCGTATTCCCGTGGATGCCTCTGGTACTCCGCTGGGTGCCAAGCCAGGCCCCGACAAGGCGCCACCTTTGCTCAAAGAAGTGCGCCTGAGGGAGCGTGAGTGTTTTTTCTTTTCTTTTATCAGTGTGGTGACCCTGTACTTTAATGTGCGATTGCTGCCTAAAACAGAGGCTAAAATTTCTTCAAACTTTAAAAATCTGCGTGTTATTACCGTATCAGTGATGCGATTGCTGCACCATTGGCACCAAACTGTGGCAAAGTGCTTACCCTGCTACATTTGACCAAGATATGAAAAATTTGCACCAACATCGTTCTAAAACTTAATTTCACATTAATAATACCGAAAATACAATAGCTCAAGCCTCGCTACCTGGACGGATAGTTACATTACGCTTATGCGAGTCTTAAGAACTTTTGAGTATCGCCCCAAAGACTGACAGTACTCGGAAGTTTTGTAATCATCAAGTTTGTTATCAGTTCTTGCTAGTTAGTTTCGTTGAGTGCGCTTCTCACCGCGCACTGGTGAACTGCATAGAAATGACAACCACAGAGTAGGCATTGCTGTTTTGCGTGTCTTGCTTCGCCGCAGCGCAACCACGTGCTAAGGGAAAACCACTTTTTCAAAGTGAGAAGCAACAATTTCTCAATGCAACTTCGGCTTGTATATATGACAGACTGCAATGACTTGGTGGTGCCTTTTTCGAATTCGAGATTTAGCATGGATATTTCGGTATTTGCAGTTGGATCGCAACCCCTAGAACCTAGAGGAAACACTAATTTAGGTGCTCAAAATTATTATATTCTAACATTATTTCATTGGGATAAAGTAACCATTCATAGCAATTGCTGTCCTTCATCAATCATCTTCTTGGTACTGTATCTGGTGCTTGTCCACGCAACGAAACGCTAGTTCTGTGTTTGCCAAAGCTACAAGTGCAAGCTTGTAGCTTTGGCACGGGCTCCTTTAACACAAGCATTTGTGCAGCCGAGGTTTATCCAAGATGCTTAGAACTATGGTGTTGGTCGTGACACTGAAGGATGGGATGAATGAGGCTGAAGGATGGAGCGCTTTCCTCGGGTGGTTTCTTACATCCTGATGGGCTATGGGACGCGCAGCGCCGCCCGGTGCCCAGCCCGAGGTTGGGGACTTCATCCGGGACCACCTGGACAAGGCAGACCAGGACCCTGGGGCACCCCCCGTGGACGACCTGCGCAACTATGCGTACGAAGGGGGTGGCTCGACGGCGGGCTCCCTTAGTTCACTGGCCTCTGAGACGGACGACCATGAGCAGCGCTTCGACTACCTCAACAGCTGGGGACCCCGCTTCCAGAAGCTGGCCGACATGTACGGACAGGGCGAGAGCGAGGAGGACTAGGCGAAACGGGGGACGACCCAAACCCCTCCCCAAAACCCCGTTCTCCAGCAGCCACAGAATCCTCGGTTTTTGGCGCTCTTGGCACAGAGCACTTCGTCTGCCAGCCGGTCCGCAGCAAGAGTGCCCATGTAACTGGCCGCCCCTTGCGACGCCGGCCAGCGTGCGGACGGCCAAAGGCTAGGTGAGAGAGAGCCTTGTTTCCGCTCGGGTGGAACAAGGGAGATGCAAGTACCACCAGTGCTTGGGCACACTCGGTGTAGAGACCGGCATTTGTTGTGCTTTGTGCCGACAGCTCCATTTCCTGTCGTTCTGGTTCAGTTTGTTTCTCTCAGGGTAGTGCAACAGGTGCTGCTGAGCTGTTAACTTTGAAAAGCTTTTATATTTCGATTCCTCCTACATTTTTGAGGGGTGACAACAGAACAGAGGCAGCTAGCTATTGTGCTGCCTTTTATATCTGCCAAAGCATGTGCAACCTTTTTTTTTTCTTTTGTCCGTGTTTTCAGTTGTTGTTGTTCTTTTGTTTTTTTTGCTATTTATATTCATATGCCTTCTGCGCATTGGTCCCTTTCAAATGTAAGGTTGTGTTTTGACGACTACCGCAACTAGTTTTATGTGCTTCTGTAGGTTTGACTGGATTAATATTCTTAGTCCAATGTTTTAGGACTGATGATTGCAGCTCCCACTTTTAATGATGAATTTCAGCTTGACTCCCCTCTCATCATTGTGTGATTAACAGAAAGCAAGGTTGTGTTTTTACTTTTAGATGTCATCACGTGCCATGATGAACTTTGCAAATCTTGCAAGGATTACTGGCACTGCCTACTCTTTTGTATTTTTTTATTTTTTTTTTGCTTTGATAGGTGTGCTCTTGCCATATTTTAATGTTTCTTTGACGATCGAAAGAAGATTGCAACTGGAGACGACCACACTATTTGCGTGCTCATCTTCAGTTGCATTGCAGAGTTGAATTGACTTCTCTGAGGCAACCATCATTGAGTAGCTCTGCCCACATCATACTGCCCAAATCTTGAATGACTTTGTTACCTTTTCTTTTGCCAAGGTTAGTAGGAGAATGGCCTTCTATTGTTCTACTGGGAACACTTTATTGCTTTGGTAGTGCAGCTTTTGATTGCAAGGTCTCAAGATTTCCCGTGTCCCCATTCCTTCCTGAAGTTTGAATTACCCCTGCTTACAACATGTGTGCTGACATCTGTTGGCCGGCTGTGTGTCGCACTCCATGTGGCCCCTCCCTCCCAAACCGCCCCCTCACGAACGTCACTCCGCGCACTCGATCGCTCCTCGACGTTCTGCGGAACGCTTCGTTTCAAACTGCCCAGCGGAATGGCCGGTGGTAATCTTGTCGTGGAGGTCAAGGCCATCCAGGGCAACCACCAAAAGCCAGGAGGAGCAAAACAAAGGAGCAAGCTTTCTTTCTCCCCTGGTGTGTCGAATGCAAGTTTGGCATAACCACATACTCTAGGTGCATTCCATTTTCTAAGGTGGCTATGCCGAGTTCTAACGCAATCCCGGGGCCTCGCCAGGCACATGAGGCCTGCGACAGCGGTGTTTGGGGCAGTGTTTTGCCCTGTGACATTGTTACTGCTAAAGTTTCTCCTTTTTTTTTTTTTTTTTTTTTAATTCACCTTTTGTCGCCATTGAACCGTTGCCAGAACTTTTGAGCAGCTGTAGACTTGGCGGGGTGAGTGTGATGAGTGTTCCTTTGTACACAACTATGTGTAGGAGAGAGAGAGAAATGATTATTTATTATGTCCAAGTTGTACACGTAATGCATTATACATATACACATTGCGGCGGTCCCCCTAGCATGCCGCGAGTACATGATGAAACTGGCGAGTTTTCTACACGTTACTGTATACAACATGCACATTGTACTTCAAGTGTGTTCACCTGCGTGCAAGTGTGTCTGGCTGTTGAAAAAAAGAAATGCCTGCACCTTGGCTTTGTGCGTCTTTTACATTCAGTGGGTTCCCCCTTTTTTTTTTAGTTTGAAAAGCCCCGACGCTCAAGTCCATGCAAAGTTTATGAAGTTCCCCCAGGTTTTGGCAGCAGCCTTGCTTAATTTATTTTAGGTAATTTTATTTTGTCAAGCTCTCAATGAAATTATTTCAGCCTATCCTTACTTTTGCTAGGGTTGTGTTTTATAGCTGAAGGCACATTGCATAGGGTATGTCACTTTTGTTGTCCTTGTGGTGTTTGTGCACAGCACAGCAGCCTGTAATGGATATCATCACATCACAAAGCAGGCGTCAATTTAGAGATGGCTTTGTTATTTCTTTTGCATTAAGACCGCTACCGCCACTGAACTCATTTGGAACCATCGATGGAATGATCATTTTTTTTATTACGATTTTATTGTAAAGCTGGATGAGCATATCACGGTGGATGATGAAGTGGACAGACCGCCGTTCATTCATTCCGAAGCACCAGAGCATTATTATTGTGTGCTTTTGTTTTTGTAAACTTTTTTTTTTATCGGATGGAGTGTATCAGTACATGTGTGGATGTATCCCTAACCTTGAATCATTTTATTTTTACTTGTTTAGTAAACCGACCCACTGTGCTAGTCACGCCCTTGTTACTAGAACTCTGAAGCCACCTGTGCAAGACTTGGGTCTGCAAAACAAGAAACCCTGAAGCAGGTTGTTGTTTTTTTTTCTCCGCCTCATCGTATTATAATGAATTTCACAAGTTTTACCAGCACACATGTCTATGTATCTGGGTCCCCTTTATTTTTTTTTCTCTGTGGGCATCTGTTTGTTTTTGTAAGCGTTGCTCACAGCGAGTGCATCCCAACCTCAGCATGACTGACAGGCTTTGTGCCCCCCATTTTGTTCTGGATACGCTGAAAGGTTGCAGCATCTCCGGGAGCTGAACAAACTCGCACATGTTCTCAAAATATACACAGACTGCGACGTCTGTGCTGCGGCGAGCATGCTACAAATGTAGGATTTCGTATTTAAAGAGTGCAGTTAGGGAGTAATGTTACTGTGTGTGCATGTTCTTTTCGTGTTTTAGTTCTATTTTTTCTACGAGCGTAAAGTGGTGTGCAAGTTTAGTTTGGTATCGGTTTAACTCTGTGAGTGCGCCCCATCCAGTTCTGTGTCCAGAGGCGGCGCCCTTTTCTGCTGACGCGGATGCCATTTGTCTGTCTGTTGCCTTATGTGAAGTATGCGTGTGTGCATGTAAGTGTGCGTGTCGGAAGCAGTGGTTTGGTTCCTTGCCTGAGTTCTCAAATCGGATTCGTTGATGAAGTGCCTAGTGACCTCTCTCAACTGTTCATTCCCAGTCCGCGGCGGCAGCACTTGGGCGCCGTTCTGGAAGACCCGCCAGTTTGGCCCTCACCTCGGGCGGATGGGCTGGACTAGTTTCCCTTACTTGCGGGGTTATGTGTCCACGTCGGTTTTTGTCTTTTTCTTTGTTTAGTACAAGAACCACTTCTTACATCTTCAGTTCGTTGCAGATTTTACGAGAATTGTCCTTGACCCCCTTGTTTTCGTGTTTTACAATGAGAGTGTCTTTGCTTCGAGTCTGTAGATGTTAGGTCATAATTTTGAAGTCTTAATAAAAACCACGTATGTTAAATAATTTCCATCGATGGCATGTGTGCAATTTTCTTGGGTGTGGGGTTGCTATTGCAGATACTTTAAAATTTGTTTGAGAGTACTAGGGATGAACGTCTGTACTGTAAAGAAAGAGGTTGCAGTGGAGCTCGAGAAGTGCCGGTCAGTAGGCATGTATGAATATATCGAAACTTTGTAGTATTGCTGCATTTGGTATAACCTTCGAATGGAATGGTATTAAAAATTAGCAGCAACCTTAATCTCCAAAGTTACTTTCTGCATGACATGCATTATTCAAAAAAAAAAAAAAAAAAAAAATTTTTTTTTTTGTAGAAAATGTTATTGTGGGGGTGATGGTGGGTGTGTTGCCTGCCTTCAAAGCCTAGCAGTCTCCTCTGTCACATTTTTATGTAGCTTGAATTTCTCATAAAAAAAAATAAGAACAAAAGACATATTTTTCTTGCCGCTAGTGTGTTTCTACACATCTGTGGTAATATTAGAACATGTTTTTCTTCATAATGTAGAAAACCCGAGACTGTGGTAAAAGCAGGGAAACGGTGTCGGAGAAGAAAGACGGGAAAAGAACATCTCAAACTCAGCTACTGCTTTTATTTCCACAATGTCTTATATACCCATAACCTCACCACTGACGTCGGTTAGGTTGAGGGTATATAAGACATTGTGGAAATAAACGCAGCAGCTGAGTTTGAGGCGTTCTTTTCCCGTCTTTCTTCTTCGACACCGTTTCCCTGCTTTTACCACAGTCTCGGGTTTTCTACATTATGATAAACATCCACCAGCTCGCCTGCGCACTCAGTTTTTTCATGTTTTTCTTGTAATTTTGAGCCATCTTCACAGCTTAAGCAACATTTGTTTTTAATATTGTTCCATCACAACCAAATTTGGCATGCGTATGCTTTATGATATGTAGAATGCAATTATCAAGGTTATGCTTTAGGATATGCAGAATTCAATTACCAAGGTTAGGTTAATTATATTTTTTTTTATATTTATAAAAATGTACTGAACAGATTTATAAAAAAAAAAAAATCAAGCACTATAAACTGAAAATTTCATTCAGCTACTGTAATTTCAAGAAATGTTAACCCTGGCCCTATGTTCCGGGAGAAATTGTTTGGATTTGCTTAGAAGACTCATTTTCAGGAGTGGAGATAAACATACCTAGTCTAATTGCAAGAGACTTTTGAGATGAGCACTTGTATGAACATCCTTGAATGCGTTCATTTCACAAGATTGATTTGGTCTGTTTTGTGTGTTGGTCTGCAACTAGAACAAGATATTTTTGGTAAGGTGTAGGGAGTCCAAAAACAGGATTGTTTTGTTTTCTCTCCGCCCAAATGTGGCGCTAGCGGTCCAGACCAGATGCCAAAGTTTGAGAACTAGCCGTTGTATTATTCAAAGGTTGTGCGATTTTCTTAAATTTTCAATTGGAAAATGGAGCCCCCATTTTTGGCCGTTTTCGGTTTCTATGTCGACTGCCATTTTCCCGTTGGAAAATTTTAATTTTCAATGAGAAATTTTGGTGCTGAAACTTTGGCATTTGGGCGGAGGACAAGCGTTGGGAAGGGGTGGAGCAGATGAAAAAAAAAAAAAAAAATGGGCAGGACACCTAATATATTAACAAATTAAATAAAAAAAAATATGGATTACTGCAAGAAATGGTTAGAGCGATATCATAAAAAAGAAAAAAAGTTACATTTTTTTTTTATTAGACCTAAAATGGTCAATCTCGGGCACAGAAATGTCTCAAAGTGAGTGATCACAGTCCTTTATTACATGTGAGATCGCTATACAGAAGAGCACTCCAACAAGAACTTCGATACCTTAACGTGGCACCTCTAGCTCAGTCAATTCATCAGTTCAGCGAGTTTGGTTTTTTTGCTCCCATGAACATCATACATACTGAGCTAGCGGTTGCAGTGGTCAGGGTTTATACAAGTTCTAAAGAGCTTCTGCAACTGACAGTTGCACTTGAGTCGTGCCTCACTTCACCTGTTCATTTGGCATGCTCTGCAATTTGTTGAGGCATCTCTGCCATTCCTAGCTGTAGTAAGCATTTCTTTTGGACAACTAGGAAATCCAGAAGCATACTACACCCGTTTTCACCTCAAGAAAAAAAAAAAAAAAAGGGTTTCCCGCAAAGTTTTCCGCATTGTTCCAACACGGCGCATAGTATAGTTCTTACGAGATTTGGTTTGGGGGGGGGGGGGGGGGGGGGGGAAGCAATGCTTTTCGCGGTTGGAATGTGTACGCCTTGATAAGATAACATCTATGTAATCTGAAATTCACCTACAAATATCTTTTTTATGCACAAGGGGAAATTAGTGATGCTCTGCAAAGAGCCAGATTTTTTTTTACTACAGTTCTTGAGGTGAAAATGGGTACAGTTCACATTCTAATTAGCAAGCTGTTCCTGACCTATGTCTTTTTTTTTTTTTCTGCCTTGAATTGATTTACTGCAAAAGATACAATCCCCTTTTAGTCAGAACTGGTCCGTTGCTATGGGGTTTTAGTTGGTCATTCCGATGATATATGATACTCCATTGATACCTTTGCACATGCACAGTATTGGTATCGTTCTCGGACCGATCTACTAAAACTATTGTTTCACATACCGTCTGACCATTTCTGTTAGCTGATCACTTAAGCCAAGTTGTGTGCACTCAGCTTCAAAGCTAGCTTTGGATCCATTCCCAGAACAATAGCCATTCAGTCGTGCAGCAACGTGGCTCGTTTTTAGGTTCACTCCTGCAGCCCTCAAGCTCTTGCAGACATCTGCACATCGCTGCAGCAGGTACTTCTGATGATAGCTGAAAGGAGAGAGACTTGAGCCAAGGACGAGAAGGTTACCTTTACACACACAGTTTTTCGGTAGCTCTGAATGTTCTGACCCAGTTCAGAAGCTAGCACAACTTCAGTAAACATGATTCTGTGATTGTAGCCCCTCATGAATGGTCTTAGTTGTGTTTGTGCCTCACTTTTTTTCATTTTTGCTGAAGAATGACAAGACACACAAAAGGGAAACTAATAGATACCATCTGGACTGTAGCTACCCAAAAGATTACTCCAACCAAGCACGCATTATTCTTTTTTTCTAAATTAGATTATGACATGAAACGAGATAACAGGTTCGTCCACCAAATTTCATCAATGCCTTGCTAATAAAGCGTGTCAATTGTCTGCATGCTCCGTTCCACCTTGAGATGCACCGCGATGAACGCGACAAGCCAATCTAGAGTTCATAGTTTGTCTCGTGACTTCACACTCCCCGCATCACTCCACCCAACCGGAAAGGCACGATACCCTCCGAGCTATGAATTGGCTCTGGTGCTCAAAGCATCCTTTGCAGTCCATCGTAAGGTAAAGCAAAGTAAACTAGACCTTTTTCGTTTACTCTCATCCCCAGCCACCTAATAGACATATTGGGTATGGGTGACCAAAAAATAAAATGTTTCAACCTGTAAATAGTAAAAAAAAAAAAATAGAGGGGAGGCAAAACGAAAATGTGTGACGGTTATGCTTATATCCTAAATGTTTTAATCTGGTGTGGCGACGGCAAAACAATAGCTGCGTTCAATTTACCTGCACAGGTGTAGAAAAGTGTAGGGCAGTGTACTTCTGGTTGTATTTCAATACACATACCAGAAGAACACTGCCTTACACTTTTCTGCACCGGTGCAGCAGGTGCAGGTAAATTGACCAAGCCTTATGTTTGCGGCCATACAGGAAGTGACGAAATTCAAGATGGCAACGCCCTTGTTAGAAAGGTTTGCATTTTTTTATGCAAACCTTTCTAACGCCTAAAAATGCAAACTATAAAAGTTTGCATTTTTTTAGATTGTCCGAAGAGCCTACGAGACGCTGATGGCCAAGATCTGTTTTGGGGAGCACTTGCGTGACACAAATTCACCATTTTAGGTTGTAATTATGCAAACGTTCTTATTGTGGCAACACCGTAGCATTAGTTTTTTGTTTTTTTGCTAGAGTGGCCTTTTTTTAATAGCAAGGTTGATACAGGTCCTCGACTTTATGCAGTCAGCTATCAGTGCAATAGGGAAACAAGTGGGATACACTATATTTTCTTCATGTACATACCATTCTCGACTCTTTTGTCAGAAATAAGCAAAGTCCAAGAAATAACCCAGATAATTGTACTAATAAGAAAAACTCACTCTTCAGCATCATAGAATGTCTCGGCTGGCAAAATTTTTGTAGCGAGGGTCTTGCCAATTTTGTGCTGCTGCTTCTTGAAGCTGTCTTCTGCAATTTGCTTCTGCTCTTGGTCATGGTAGAAGATAGCCGACATGTACTGCCGCTTGTGGCAGGCTGTTGCATCATGGAAACCCCAGAACATTTCCAGCAGTCTGTCATAACTGGTGGCTATGGGATCATACTCCAACTGTACTGTCTCGGTGTGATCACCCCTGCATTCAACAGTATTCAATGAGTTTTCTGCAAAAGCACTCCCTCAGTTTCCTTTTTAACATATTCAAAACTAGCATGTGCCATATTCAAATTGTACTGGAGATAGCATTCATAAGGATGCCGAAGTGTTTCATATTTTGTAGCTAGGGTCAGAGGCTTCTAAACTTTTAGGGCGACAGAGGTGGTGGGGTGGAGAAAGCGATTTTCCACCCCCTTCCCCATATTCTTTACATTATTTCTTTTTTAAATATCGGGTGAGGCGAACGCTCTGCGCCCCCTGCTCTGACAACATTGGCTAAGGTTCTGCGTTTTCCGAGTTTATTATTATTTAGCAAACTTGAAGTGTGTTTATCAACTTACTTTTTTTTTTTTCGCAGAGCTTTCAATTGTTCATGGTACACAAAATATTGTTTGCTTGTTTTCTCGTTTTTTTTTTTTTTTTTTTTTTATGATTGGGTTTTGAGCCTTATAAGAATAATACCACATTCAAGTACAGTAATATAAAGACCAAAAAGAGACACATGTAATATATATGAAACTTACGTTCAGGCACACTTTACAATATTGGTGCCACTCGCTGCAGCACACTCCTGATTGACAATGCCCTTTCAACATTTGCAATGAATATAGAAAAAGTCATCAGATGTGACGATTCGTATTCTGGTGCTTAGCGATACCAAGGATGCCTTTTACAGTACTGCGAACTTGCATGCTGCAAAACTTTCAAACAATAACGTCGTCGCTGCCAGCCACTGAAAAATCTGGGTGTTGCTTGGGCCAATGATCACCAATGAGGTTTCATACCCAGCCCATCACACGGAGGGACTGAGAAAGACTGACAATCTCGAATCAATGTTATCAATGCACATGACAAAGAAACTGCAAAATCTATGTTGCCAATGCACCTACAACCAAGGGGTGCAAGGGCACTCACAAATTCTGGTAAGTCGGGTTCTTGGTGGTTCCTCCCGTGTACCCGACGCGGGTGCGGATCACCCCCGGGGCACAGCCATACTGCGCCTCGGGGAACCAGAATCATGAGAGGGCAAAAGTGGCCTTCTTCACAGCCACGTCCGGCTCGTACGGCGTCATCTGCAAAGTTGAAGCAAACGCGAGCATTGTGTGACGTTCCATCGGTAGCAAGCGGCCACGCAACATACGCGCTAAACAAGTCCCAGAGCAGGGTCAACATGATCTACATACCTGTCCCACTTTAGACTGAGCCTCTCCCATAGCAACAGATGCACAAAATGACAAGCTACCTACCGGCCGTGCTGCCTACCTACGCCGCCTACGCTGGCCTACGCTACGCTCGCGCCCTTCGCGACAAGGACGCGCGAAATTGGCACAACCACGGCCCTTCGGGAGAATGCAGAGAAGTCTAAACCTTTTTCGAGAACGGATAGCACATACCGTCCTGAGACCGACCAAGCCACGCCGCAATAATGGCAATAATACGACAGGAAAGCGCATCAGGAAGGAAATTACATCTTTTTTTTCTTCTGCTCACAATCTCGTGGAAGCGGACGCCGATGAAGGAAACGACGAAAACATATGACGCCACACACGTCAATAAAAGAAAAGGAAAAACTTCGGATATGTCAACAAGGTAGAGGGACCTAGAGCGATAAACCAGGGTTTAGTACATTTATTTTTATTTCAATTTTATGCACTAAACCAGGGTTTAGTACATTTATTTTTATTTAAATTTTATCGCGAGAAATGCATAGATGGCGCAACCGCACCACCGTGTCTAAAGCACGTCTAAAGCCACCAAAAGCCACAGTTAGCCGGCTCTGGCTAAAGCCCCTCTGTCCTGGGACTTCGTTCGCTTTAATCTAACCGCTTTAACCCCTTTAACTGCTTTAACCGTGTCTGCAGCGAGCGAAGCGAGGTACTCAGAGGTTTCCGGGGTTTTTGCGCATCGTTTCTGTTTTTGTGCTGAGCTGCGAGTGGCAATGACAGCGCGACCCAAGCTAATAGTTTTTGATCTGGGTGAGTTCAGGAATCACGGGGATACATGTTAGCTGAAGCAAAAAAATAAATATAGTTTGCATATTAGCGTTTTTCTTTTCTTTCCTTTTTTTTTTTCTTTTTTTTCATTTCCATTGCTATGGTTGCGGTTCGTTCGGACCTCAGTCATTCCTGGCTGCGACGATTCTTGTATATGGATTCGGTCAATTCTCGTTCTTTCATCGTCTTTCAGCCTGTCCTGCGTCAGAATTCACCCGGTTTACGGTTCTCTTAACGTTTCCAGACAACACGCTGTGGCCCTTCTGCGTTGATACGCATGTGACCCCGCCGTTCAGAAAAGAAGGGTATCTGATTTCAAGCTGTACTCTCATCCTGAACTTCTAAGAACCGCTTCTTGCTCTCGCAGAACCGGGAAAATCTACGATCGCCACGGCAAGCGAATCAACGTGTTTCCCGACGTGCCGGCTATGCTGGAATGTTTGACTTCTCAGCGCTACCTCCTCGGATTGGCTTCGAGGTAAAGTTTGTAAAATTCAAAAAAGTTCTCAAAGATCTTTTTTTTGGCCGGAAAAGGTAGATTGAATCATAATAAATATCTAGCGCTCCTCATCAAGAAGTCTCACATTTTGTTCAACTCATCCCTCCTTTAAATTTGTATCACTAAAAGTGGTGAGGTTTAGAGGGGCCCTGCAAGGATTTTTTTACGTCCTTGGTTGCTCGAGTGGCCATGAACTAGAGGAGGGGTAGTGAGCTCAGCGAGCAGTCACGGCTGCCGCACTCCGTGTCGACGGCTCGAGAGGGCGCCACTAAAGCATGTTCTGGCTAGGCTGTATGAAGCGGGCAGCCAAGGCGGCTCGCATTGCATTTGCTGCGCGATTAAATACTAATTCGGCATGACACTTCGTTGGCCACAAACGACAGCAAACACGGGGTAAAGGTCAGTTCAGAACGGGAGCCACTTCGCGTTGCCATACCGCCAAAAGGACAAATCGCAAGCCAAAGCTGTTCACCGAAGGCCTTGAGAACTCTCAAAACCACTCGGATCCTCCAGTCCATGCAACCGCAGCACCGCCGCATACATCCGGGACCTTTCTACACTTGCCGCTCGTTGGTGCCTGATCCCACTACACCTTTCTAGTATGCGCCGCCTTTTCCACCGCTTGGTGGCAGGTATACTTCGGTGGATCATTTCTTGTTTCCGTACTTTCTAAACTGCATTTGTTTCTTTTCTGATCTACAATACTGAACAAAAACTACTTTCATAAATAACTGAAACGGTTTGCGCCACTTATATTTTACATTTCGACTAAAAAAAAGCTTTTAGCGGCTCTGACCAGTAGTAAGGCCAGGATCAAAAACCTTGCATATCGCATGCTTTCGGCACCGCGGGTCGCCCCCGTAGGTGGAGGAGGTTTCCGCGTCGTCCGGTTAAAATATGACGCACTGATATTTAGTTACTCTCTCCATGCCCGCTGGCTTGCCAGAGCCTCAAGAGACATGGAAACCGCAAAAAAGTTAGATGCTTTAATATGATTGCAGGGCCCCTTTAAGCGATACCATTGGGCACTGGACGCCAGAAGAAAGCTCATCGGAGAAAAGCTTACTGCAAAACCGTCACATTCAGAGAAAAGCGCACTGACCTTTTGGCAGATGTGGAGGAAACCTCACCTACGAATCTGTGAACCAAGCCTTTTCACTCAACTGAAGTATGTTTGGATGCCATGTGTGGGTTGTAGCACGGAATCCTGGGGAAAAGCTCACCCAGAATTTCGTCTTTTCAGAGCTAGGCATGCATCAAAGTAACGGAACAACCAATGTTTTGGTGACAAACAACACAATTATTCTAACTTTTTTTTTTTTTTTTTTAACACGTTTCCTGGCTGACAATTCTAGGTTTTGTAACTTGGGTTCTTTGTATCCACCATAACCTGCACACAAACGTATGTCTTACTTCTCATCTTGTCCCCGTCCACACTGGAATCAGAAGTAGAGCGGTTATACCTTTTGTTATGTTGTTCCTCGTGACGGTTATAGAAAATCGTCTTTTGTTTAGTAAAGATAGACCAAGACTTCAGTTCTAAGCGCATTTTGCCTTTACAGCAGTATTGGAATGCATTTGCATTCCAATAGCAAATTTTTCTAGCCATATAGTACTTCAGCTGCCACCATGGAGGTTATTCATACTAATAAGGGGAAGGCAAAGGTTCTGCTTGACAGTTATGATTACGCAAAAAAGCAGTCAAAGAATGGGTGGATCCGATGGCAGTGTCGAATGCAGCGAACAATGACTACGGACCCTGCTGTGAGTATAACAATCTTTGTTTTTCCCCTCATAGATTACCTATGGGCTATGGGTGCATTTGTATGTTTGTGATGGTGATGCATGCTGATGTGATTTTTTGTACTAACCACAATGTATTTGTAGCTACTGATGTTATTCAAAAAAGGTTTTGAATTTTATTTGTGATGAGAAGCTGGTTTTGTAAATGTGCGTTAAGGGAACACACCCCCTGGGGAGGTCAACTTTTGAACCCTTGTCTTAAAATTAATGAAATTTACAGGGTAGGCTGGTGGTCATGCTAAAAGGGTGTAAACAAAATTTCAGGTCTATTGGTCAAATGAGAAGGAAATTAGAGTAGCTTCTATCAGCAACACGCTTACATTGTTTAGTTAATCTATCGTCAGAAAACTATCACAATATTCAAGATTTTTATTGGCTAGATATGTAGCAGAATGCCTAGAGGGTGTGGCTATGGAGCGTTTTTCTAAAGTCATTGATTTCTATAAATTTTCTCTTCTGCAAAATCGGTCAACTTTTTGGTCTTCTGTGTCTTCGACAAAATGTCAACATTTTTTATAAAAGAAATCGGTAAAGTGACAAAAAAGTTCCATAGCCGCATTCCTTATTAAATTTCAGTCAGGGAAAGGGAAGAGTGAACTTGCCCTGTTTTGCCATTATCAAACGATAGATTGACTAAAATGGAATTTATATAAAAAAGTAGAATAGAGAAAAATGTGTTCAAAGTGCTCCAAACCCTACCTTTTCTTTAGTTTTGGTGGACAGAAAATAATTTGTAAAAAACTAACTATTCAGTGAATATTAAACTTTTTGGGAGTACTCTCTAGATGTTGGTGGATGTAAATATGTCATTTTTCAAAATCAACTGTTTTTGCAGAAATTTTTTTTTCTCGGCAGTGTCTCCCCTTAAAACTAAATTATTTTAAAGGTTTATAATGACCAAACTAAATGTTGCCAATAAATGAAAAAAAAAAAAAAAAAAAACAATCCATCTGAATGGCATCTATAGACTACATGCACACCGGCAAGCAATTTAGCTTATTTAAGTGTTCAATGTGAAACAGGTGTTATGCCTTTATGAAAGCTATCATGAATTTTATTATCCTACATACTTGTAGAGGAAAATATACATTTTTAACCAATATCTTTAGGTACACATTCCAAAGTGTCTCATATTAGGAAGTTTTCAACTTTACTTTTCTGTTCAAAGTAAGCAGCGTCTCATTTAACCCGTGTTAATATACCACTTGGTATTGCAGATAACTCACTTCTGGTCAATGACTGAGCACAATCACGCCAACGACACCAATGGTATTAAGGTGACGAAGTTATGAAAAGACGTGAAAAGAAAAGCACAAGAAACGTCAGAACCTCCAAGCAAGCTCTTGGCTCAAACACTAAGCAGCTCGTCGACAGCTGTGCGCGAGAACTTGGGAAGCTGGAGACGGTATGTCGTGACCTGCGCAAGCAAAGAAGTCAGCTGCGCCCAACGGAGCCACAGTCTGCCACAGAGCTCCAGGTCACAGACATCTGGGCAACAACCGGAGGGGAACTTACCACAACCGTTCCTCATCTACGACAATGGATCGGAGCGGCGGGACCGCATGCTCGTTTTTGCCAGCAAGCTGAACAGCTGAGAGCCTTGTGTACCAGCTGAACGGTACATGGATGGTACGTTTTCGGTATGTCCTCGACTGTTTAAGGCAGCTTTAAGTGCTGAGGTGTGCAGTTGGCGAAAGCTCTGTCGCCTGTGTTTTTGCTCTCCTTCCTGTTAAGAGCCTTCCAGCATACGAAGAGCTGTTCCAAGCAATCCTTGACGCTTGTGAAGCGAAGGGATAGATCCCAGATCCGAGCACCATCATTAGCGACTACGAAATTGCTGCCATCAAGGCTGCAAAAGAAGTCTTCGGGCAGAACATTGCATCAAGGGGGTGCCTCTTCTATCTCTGCCAGAGCACCCGTAGCAAGGTAATTAGCATTTCAAACATTTTCATTAGAGGAGACCAGTGGTTCTCAAATGAGGGTCTGCGGACCCTCTGGGGTCCAGGATAGCATCCTTGGGGTCCGCGAAGCCCTGTCTAATCAGTCAAACCCGGCAATATAATTGTATTTTTTCCACATTGAGAAGAAACATTCCAATATTCAGGTGAGTTCTCTCGTCTGTATGGGAATGAGATAAGTCTACTTCACACTAACTATTAGTTATATTCATTTATTGAGTCATTATCAGGATTAACCTACACCTTTTTATTCCCCTCACCCAAAACGGGGTCCTCCATCGTCTCCGCCTATCTACAAGGGGTCCGCGAAACATCATTGGTTGAGAACCACTGGAGTAGATAATAAACAAGTAACTTTCTTGCGATAAAATTAGCTATTGATATATACACAATTTTGAAAAAAGAAAAAAACAGGTCAGAACAGTTAATATGTGTGCAACGTCTGAATTACCATTAAAGGGCCTCTGACACGTCAAAAAAATTCAAAGTGCCCGCCAGTGCCCTGTGACATAACAGTGTACCGCAAGGCGTCGGGGCGGTCAAAAGGGACGCATTGACTTACGTCACTAAATTGTGTTCGCCGTAAGTCACGTGATTGTCACTCCTCGTGCTCCCCACGACCGTGCCCAAGACGTTTTTTTTGTGTCTTCTCCACAAGCGATTGTAGAAAACAAAGTATCAGTTCCACTAGCGTTTTATCACTGCACCGTTTGTTAGTTTGCGCGCTGTAAAAGTTGAGGACGAAGAGTCAGTAGATCGACGTGATGGAGGTCAATGATGGAAGCGTTGCAAGCAGAAGCCAGTGCACGAGTGCATACCATCAGTCCAATAGTACGGAGCCATATTGGGCACAAAACGAGCTATCGAGTTTTGAAAATAAAAATTAGAACGCTCATAGAAATTAGGATGTGTAGCATACGACACGCCCGATTGCATTGCTGAAGGTTCAGACACCGAGGTCGTCGAATCATTGGATACTCTCCAGGCTGAAGATGTTTGCCGTCTAGAGAAAACGAACTGGTGAGTGACCAAGTACAAGTAAACGTCGAGTATAAAGTATATGTTTTGTCTAGAACATGAGCAGAACTTGTTTACTAGGTTCACTGATTCCTCTTCTTCTACCGTTACAGCAACATTAAACAATGAAAAGCAAATAAAGAAACCTTGTATGCTTGGATTGCTCGCGCAGGTGCGGTGAATAACAAAAATAAAAAACAATATTACGCGCTGTCGCGGTAAGCACAAGGAGTGATACAACTCGCTTGACTTCCGGCGATGCCTCCCTTCTGACCGCCTCGACCTCTTGTGGTACACTGTTACGTCACAGTGCACTGGCGGGAACTTTGAATTGGCTTCGTATTTCTATTTTTTTATAAAAAATCTATGCAACTCTAAAGTGAAACAATTCTTTGGTTATATTAACATTTTAACGCCTAGCATGAAAAAAAAAATTTTCTGGGCGGGGCGGGGGCGGGCGGGCGGGCGTGTCAGAGGCTCTTTAAATGTTTATTTCGACATTTCAAATGCTATGTTAACCCTCGCTCTTTCTTTTTTATTTTGTTTGCATTATAATGCTGGGTTTTAATTATAAGCATTATTATAAGCATAATTATAAGCATAAGCATTATAACCCCGCATTATAATGCTGGGTTATAATGTTCGGTTCTAATTCCACACTGTTCTTCGTAAGTACGGGAGTTGGGGCTCATCACCAAGTACCAGACAGACAATGTCTTCCGGAAGTTTTGCGGCATGCCTGATGGGCTTGCCTTTGTACCTCCCGACCTTGTGCCAACTGGACTCGAGTGCGTTCGGGACCAGGTTCCTGACGACATGGACAATCTCCTGACGTACTTCGATGTGACGTACGTCATACTTCGACGTGACTTACGTGAGCGAAACCTTTCGCACTGTTCCAATCATGGGAGCAGCTGAGCAACTGACAACAACCATGCGCCGCCGGCACCCGGAGTTCCCTCCGAAGCTCTGGAAAGGCTACGCTACAAGGCGAGGACTGCACCAACGATGCGTGCGAGGGGTGGAACAGTGCGTTTAAGCTCCTTATTGGTCATTGCCATCCCAGTGTTTGGAGGCTTCTCGAGTGCCTCCAGCAAGACCAAGCAGTGGTTGCTACATTGTTGCTGCAAGTCAGTCGAGGAGAGCCACCTGCCAAGAAAACAAGGATATATACCAATCGCCTGCAGAACAGGCTACGAAACCTCTGCAATGACTATCTGCAGCTTAAGCGCCTTACTGTGTTTCTTAAGCCGTTGGTGACTGCATTTGCATTTGAGGCATAATAAAAAGATTGTGGTCCAATGTGCGGTGAGCTTTTCTCCGGGTTGGTCAAAAGTGCAGTGAGCCTTTCTCCGCATTCGCCGGTTTTGCGGTGAGCTTTTCTCCAGTCAGCTTTTCTGTGCAGCCCGTAGCACTATTCCCCCTGGTGGTAATTCTCCCGTCCCAAATGCCACGTGCTATTTCCCCTGAGTGTCAAAATCCTTGCCGTCAAAATCCCCGTCTTGCCTCCCCCGAATGCCAACATCCCCATGTCTGATTCCCCCTTTTGTAACTTTTGTAATCATCGTTATCACCTCTGCTATGTCGTGAGAACCACTGCTTTGCAAGTCAGTGCCCAGCATCAATTGCACACCTCGAGGGAGTTTTTAGAGCGCAGCTCTTAGGCGTTCGTTTTCGGCTTGAGTGGCGTCGGCGTAACCGTAAGGTCACGTGACCCCCGTGAGGTCACGAGGGTCGCATGACCTCGCGCCTACGCCGACGGCGCTGGGAGGGAGTAGTAGCAGGCAGGATAAGGAGGTGAGTAGGAGGGAAGAGGGGTATACCTTCCCCTTAGTACCCTTCCGTCCTCCTCCTTCCTCCTCCTCAAGAGCTCCGCTCTAATTCGGTGTTACAGGGGGCTGTAAGCAACTTTCTTTTTTTTTTTTTTTATCTTAAGGGGGAACACTGGTCTTGGAGCTTTTTTTCTTATTTTACGACCAAAGTTAATGAAATTGCACAAGCTTATTCAGCTTTTTGTGCCGATTTCATATATCTGGTCATTTTCTCAGTCGGTAGCACTGTCCTCAAAATATTTAAAACTTGCCTGCCTTTGTTTGGAAAAACGATAGAAAAAAAACTGCTCAACAAAATATTCTTTTTAACACATGGCTAGATACTACGAAGTGTAGAAAATACAATGTTGGAAGCACTTTTAAGATAAACTCATTATTAGAGATTTTACCACACATTGAAGTTCAGTGCTCAATGCATGGCTAACAAGTAATATAGCAAAAAATCAAATAGAAATTTTTCTAGACTTATATTAAAAAATCCGCTCTCAACGTTGTATGCTTCACATATTCAGCTATACATTTCAGGAACGGTTATATTTCTATCTGCTCTGGATGCTGAGATATCCCTCCTGTAAATTTTCAACGAGTCCAAAAATTGTGTTATGCGAAAACAATGTTTTAGAGTCAACTTTAATGCACATTCAGCCCGCATAGATATTATAAGTTAATTTATAGCCCAAATATTCATTCACGAAATTATAAGCCTGGTAGATTCAGAAGAACAACAGCCATCACCATTTTCAAAAGCATGCAGTTTTAGGAAGTTTTTGGCTCCAAAGACCCATGTCCACCCTTAATTCTTCCTCTGTTCAAGTCAAACTGTTTGCAGACGACTGTGTGGTTTTTGAAAAAAACTGGCAACAGTCCAGGATCAGGAAATTTTCAACCAGTCACTAGGAGAAATCTTGTGGAGTAAGCAGTGGGGTTTATGGTAACTAATTTTTGTAAAACTGTCTCTTGTATAATTACGAACAAGAAAAAGGTCTTAACTGCAACTTTATATGGGGCATTGAATCATTGAAGTATTTGGGGAATTATTTTGGCTTATACTAGCTGCGCTGGAATAGTCATGTGGATGACATCAGAGCCTTTTATGCTGGGAGACTTCGGCCAGTTAAGTTTTGCATCTGGAAATGTATGTCCTCGGCATGCGCGGGCAGCTACAACCCACTGGCGCTCTCTTCCCGTGGTTGAGTGCGTGATAGTCTCTCCCGATTTGTGTGTGCTGTGCTTCTCTCCAAAAGGTTCACAGCATTCTAAATAATACAGAAATAAGTAAATAAATAAATTTGAATTCATCTACTATTTGCCATTCTTTCCTTTTTTGTGTTCACAGTGCCAAACTCTCTGCCTTCAAAATTCTAGATTGCAATGTTATCGTTCCCGGAAGTCATAGAACGTTTTCGTTTTTCTAGGTATTTTGTGTTAAAATTTCTGCCCTTCCATTTTGTACTTGAAAGTCTTGGTTTCCCAGGTTTCTGTGTTGTGGTTTACAAGCGGTATGCGTCTGTCCTTCAAGCCGGGGATTTTGAGGACTGGGCAGATAGCGCAGGGAATTTGCAGTGGGGGTTTTGACACGGGGATATCAGGATTGGGTTATTTCGTGCGCCACCCCATATGTGCACGAGTTTATTCTAGCAGATAAATACTTTTTGATGTATGTCATACACCTTTTGCATTGCACGCCGAAAATAAATGAGGTACCGAGGTGTTTGTAAGAAATCTAAACCCGGCTTTTCGCACCGCAAAAATAAACTAATCGCTGAGAGCTCAAATGCAAGTCAGAATGTAGACCCAGCCCTTCAAGCAAGATGCCAAAAGGTAGAAGTGATTTTCTGAAAATTTCAATGGAAAATGGCGGCCAACAAAGCTCTCGAATACATGAAGCTCTATTGCGCCAAAAACTGAAAAAAACTGGCAAAAATGGGCCCCATTTTCCCATTGAAAATTAAAAAAAATCGCTTAACTTTTGAATAAGATAACGGTTGTTGCTGAAACTTAGGCATCTTGCTCGAACGGCTGGGGTCACATTCTGACGGAGTTGAGCTCTCTGCAATGTCTAGTTTATTTTTGCGGTGCGAAAAGCCGGGTTCGGATTTCTCACAAACACCCGGTATCGTAGAATGGTAAATAAAAGATAGCCTGGGAGAAAAAAAACAGTGTAGTAGGCTACAGCAGGAATTGTTCCTGGATCGTTATGTTAAATTACCTTAAATGAGTAGCAGACACTGAATATGTACATGTAAATAAGAAAAAAATGAAATTCCCAAATCTTAATATTCCACCAGATATTGAAGAGGTATGCGCTTTTAATTTCCAAGCTGTTTGAATCTACAAATAAAGAGCAATGATATTTCCTTCATCCAACCTACGTCAAATTAAATATGGCAAGAGTTGACGAAAACAACATGAAAGTGAAGCGAGGGCTGAATGTCTGTGTAGGATGTATGTGCATCTAGCTCTTTTTGCTGCTCTAAAATGCTTCCTCTGATTGTATCGGGTATCTCAAATAGCGGACAGGCCCTTTCAATCAACCGCAAAATTCGATTCCTTAACCTATCGCTCTACGATTTTGTGCAGCGTTGCCCACAGGTGGTGCATTTCTTTTATAAAATTTGCAAAGAGCGAACTTAACTGCGGAAAAAGCCTACGCCGCGTGCAGATTGGCTCACTCGGGAGGAGAGCGTTACGGCGGCGAGATCTCTTGTCTCCCGTGCGAAATGGTGCCGCGTTGTTTGAAGACCGGTGACTTCGCTGCGTTTCCATAGGAATCAAGCCTTTTTCTTTTTTTACTTTTTCCTCAGGCAAGTTCGCTCTTCGCAAATTTGATTTGCGAAGAGCGAACGTAGCATCGTAGCATCAGATGCAGCTGATGCTACGAGGTAATTTGCATTACCTCGTAGCATCAGCTGCATCTGGACTTGACCCATTAAGGCTCATGAAATATCTGTCCACCCGATTCTATTTATTCTTAGAGCGCGGCTCTTAAGCACCTATTTCCGGCTTGAGCGGCGTCGGCGTAACCGCACGGTGCATTATGTGTAAATTTCCCTGCTAAATTTAGCGGAAAATTTTCCCCGCTAAATTGATCGGAAAATTTTCCCCGCTAAATTTGGCGAAAAATTTCCCCGCTAAATTTAACGGAACAATTTCCCTGCTAAATTTAGCTGAAAAAATTCCCACGCTAAATTTAGTGGAAAAATTTCCCCGCTATATTTAGCGGAAAATTTTCCCGCTAAATTTAGCGGAAAACTTTCCCCGCTAAATGTAGCGGAAAATTTTCTGTACCAAATTTAGCGGAAAATTTTCCCTGCCAGATTTAGTGGAAAAAAATTTCCCCGCTAAGTTTAGCAGAAAAAATTCCCTGCTAAATTTAGTAGTTGTTTGCAGCTTGGTTGAGAAGGTCTACTCCTTCCATCCAACTGTTGTAGCTACTGAACAGCTGGGGCTGCATCACATTTATTTTCACTTGTTGCACCGTCGACCATCGTTTTACGGAGACTAATGGCTCAGTGCTGTCATAGTTTGTTGCCATGGTCACTACGTTAGTTGTCTTTCCATTTGACAAAGAACTTTGTTTTCTGGATCAAAACTTAAACAGAATTCCCCTATTTTTTTTTTTTTTTTCATTTTCTTTTGTGAGGCGAGAGGGCTTTTTTTTTTTTTTTTGTCTGTTTTCACGGAGAGTTCTGGTAGCATGAAAGCTCAGTTGCTGCAGAGTGATCAGGAGGTCGTGAGTCATGAAAAATTTGTCAAAGAACACGACATGGTCGGTGGGTGTCGTGACGGCTTTAAATAGGGAAAGGACAACCCCTGGTCCCCGACGGTCTTGTATCTGGAGTGGGAGGCTTTCCGCAATAGGCGTCAAATGCAGAGCAGTAACCTTCTGCATTGCACATCATCCAGTTCTTCAACCAAAAATTAATAGGTTTCCCCCTAATAAACTGCTTGCAAGGATGGTGACCAAAGTACTTTACCATGGACTCATGAATAGAGATGGTCTTGTGAAAGATGCCATGTTGTCTGAACTTCTCGTTTAGTAACTCCATCAACGAACACGCCTTGTACATCTTATCCGTTGTCCCCTGAAGGAAGTTATTGTCAGCTAAATGCTGGAACCGTTTCATCTCGAGGAACCGCTGCCGACTCGTGCATTTAGTGCCACATGAGATGCCAACATCTTTGTCAGACCAGTAGAGCCTTTGGCTGGGAAGCTTGTGGTACCCACTCAACAAAAGAATAGCAATGAATTTTCTCAGGTCATCTATCGTGACAACAAAATCATGCTCATTTTGTTGCTTTGCATACGTCCCGCTTTGAATGCCGATGTGAGTTAGTATACTTCTTCGTCGAAAATTGTGCTGAAGGTTTGGTTTGGAGACTCCCAAAAAGGTTGAACTGTAGATTTTTCCGCCGTTGTTCAGCACCCTTCGATAAAGGCAATTATCTGTACTTTGGATTCATCCTCTTCCATTTTAGATCTGTGAACTTTGCCTGCTTGACACAGGGCTGCTGATGGTCGCCATCTTGATCATTCGCCCCGCAGTGTACTTCTAGTGTACCTAAAAGCCAATAGATATCCATCAGTTCAGCTCTACTCCGAGCACATGGTGAGGTCAATATTTATAAAACTTTATCCTCTTACCCATCACATCATTCACTTCGACAATTTTGTTGCTGTCGTCGTCTCCCTCTTCCTCGTCCGTGTCTGCTGATAGGTCAGGAGGAAAAACCACATCGACATCTTCACCAATATCTTGGGCAATGTCCACAGCTGTCTCTAGGGCTTCACTCAACCGGCGCAATAGGATGGAGCAATATATTTGCTCCGTCCTAATACAGTGTACATAAAAAAACTGAATTATATAAAACTTCATACGGCTGAAATAAATTAAAATTGTGTGGCTTACCAAACCGGCGTGAGTGCCCACGTGTTTACAAACTTCCTGAGTGGATAGAAGAGAAATGTCAGCACCTAAGTGCAAACTAGTTGTTAAGAGGTAGGCATTGAGGCAACCCCCAATGGCAAAAATAGGTATCAAGATAATCAAAATATTGATTTTCAAACATTCTAAAATTAAAAAGGTTGGTGCATACTTTTCGAAGTATGGTAAATGCTAATGGGTTAAGCTGAAATGAAGTATAGCAGGCCATAATTTGCTCACAGACGTTAGTGGACAGCTTGACCTCTTAGGACATTTTATGTTGTTGGACTTTTTGACTTGTTTCATAGAACGTTTTGACACGGTGACATTTGAATCTTTGGGCATTTTGACATGCTTGTCACGTGACTTGTTGGACATCTTGTATCATTGGGCACGTTTTGACAAGTGCCCACTGCCCATCCCCATGTCACCCGTCATCTCATAAACACTTCCAATACCCCTAGGGTCCTGGAGCAAAAACGCACAGAGGAAAGCATGCCATGATATCCTGCCTTTAAACCGAAGACTAACTACTGTCACAGTTTTTTTTACCCACAAAGTTGTCAAGATGAGCATAGCTTTTGCTACACCCATGCATTTTGGAGGCAAAGAAGTAAAGCCTCCGAAAGAAATGTTGCAAAGCATAAAACTCGTTTTTGGTTTTGCTGTGCATAAAAATAGAGATTTCTTTTTTAATTTGGCTATGAAAAGTGCATGCCAGAGTCTAAAAAATAAACATGAGAAATGGAAAAATATGAAATTATTAAGAGAACAAATTAGTCACTCTCATTCTTTGTTAACGCAAACTCTGGTCAAGGTCGATCTGTCTTATGCAGAACTGATGATCCTGATGCAGCAAGGGAGCTGGTCACAATCCTCGACTGGAACAAATACTTCCCTTATCAGGAAATCTACCCAGGCTGCAAAATTACACACTTCAAGAGGTAATTTGTTTTTGCTTTTTTGCAACTGTTCTGGGCCACCCATGACTCGGGCAGATTGTGATACAAAATTTTGCTCTACAACATTCGTTCATTAGGTTCCATCAACAGACAGGCTTGCCATACAAGCAGATGCTGTTCTTCGACGACGAGCTGAGGAACATCCACGATGTCTCCACACTGGGTATCTGCTCGCTTGCTGAGTGTCGTTGAGCAATATCTACTAAGTTACTAAAAATTAGAAAAGCTAGGCTGTGCCCTCTCATCCTATATTACGTCACAGTGAACAGCCTATATTTCACAGGCACTTAAACTTTTGGTTAAGTGCCTGTGAAATTTTGCCCCTCAAGTCAGAATTATTTTAGGCTAAAAACAATACAATAAATTAGTACAGTGCAATCCGCTTATAACGATGATGAGAAAACCTGAAAATGCAATTGTTTTATAGGGTTATCGTTGTATCTTAACTAGAAACTGATTGTTATAAGTGGTACATCATTATATGGGGTATCGTTATAAGTGGATTGCACTGTAGTAGTAAAATTAATTGATCATCATAGCGTCTGTGAAAAACATTTGAAAGCACTGGATCTTGAATTGTACAACAAGGAGCTTCAGAATCTTGGTCTACATCCGTGTGGGGTGTCCAGCTTTGAGAAATCGCAATGTTCTCTAAGGCTCTCCTTGCCACTCATTTACAGAACTTTCATAACCATCCTCTGACGATTCATCACAAAAACATTCGGAGCTCTCTTCGGGTTGTCTTCTCCACTGAAATCACCTCTTGAATAACATACTGTCTTCTCCACTGAAATCACCTCTTGAATAACATACAGTGGCGTAGCTAGGCCATCCGGTGCCCAGGACCCTCTTGTCTTTCGTAGCCCCCCCCCCCCCATCCCCCTCCCATTCACTCCCCGAGAATTGCAGCCAAGCAACCAACCAGCAAAGTGGTGGGGAGAGCGGTTGCTGTTTGAGGTGGCACCCCCCCTATGTGACCAGGTAGCAGAACAAAAAAAAAAAAAAAGTTTTTTGCATGCGTTAGTTTCTTTTAAAAATGAAACAAATCAAAGCTCAGAGTACCCCCCGACGCTCGTGCAGTCTTTTGAGTGACATCACTGTGCACCTGGTTCCCTGTTGGATTCTCTGTTTAGAGCCGCTCCCTCAACCCCCAGCCACTCCCTCCGCAATTGTAGACTTTTCAGGGACTAGCATCGCTAAAGGTCACAGCTAGCAATCGAAACAAAAAGATGTTCGCCATGCGGCTGACAGCGAGTGTAGCAGCAAGGGGGACTTCTGTTGACTTCCATGTACTCCCAATGACTGGACACCATAGTTTTCGTAACCACTACACAAGAATGCAGATCGGCAAATTATGTTTTTTGTTTTTTTTTTTCCTTTGCAGTTACGCAGCAGAATCAATGTATTTCAAGGGAAGGTGGTTGCGTGTACTCACTTGTGCCTGGATAGACAATATAAAAAATACAGGTTTCAAATTCTTTCAACGTTGTAATCGTTGAACTGCCTCGTTAAAACGCACAAACTCGTAAATTTAAGAAATATGTTGGGTCAGACACGTATCCAGGAGTTTGTTTCGGGGGGGGGGGGGGGGGGGGGGGGAGGGGAGGGGAGGGGAGGGGAGGGGGAGGAGGGCGGGAGGGAGGGAGGGCGGGAGGGAGAGAGAGAGAGAGGAGGGGGGTGTCGCCGCCCATGACAAAATGTTGTATGAGGGGGAGGGGGAAGAGGAGGTCCCAGCAAAATCAAAGATTTTGGGGGGGGGGGGGGGGGGGGGGGGAGGGGGCCAGGGCCCTATGGGCCGCCCCCTTGGCTACATGCCTGTGTTGGGTATTTCTTTCTACTGCATGTAAACTAACGCTTTTAAGGCACTTTAGACGGCTCGCAAAGATCGGTTTTTCATGTCCCACTGCAATTTACTACAGAGGTGCAAGCAGGTGGTGGAAGTTTACAGTGAAACAATCAGGAAACGAACTTACCTTGTTCCAAAGAAAGAAAACAAACCTGTTTTGTGCAATCTACGCTGCCACTTGGCAGACGATGTGTGCGTCAAGAGAAGAGCTGCCGACAGTTGGCTTACGCCGTGCCGAGGGAGCGCCGGCCAATTCGGGTGCTTTTGCGAGATTGTCTGGTATCAACCCGAATCAGCCAGCGCTCCCTCGATGTGGCATACGCCATCTGTCAGCAAAACTTCTTCCTATGCATGCACCGTCTGCCAAGTGACGGCATAGATTGCCCAGAACAGGTTTTTCTTTTTTTCACTGTAACCTTCTACCTCCTGCTTGCACCAGTATATTGCAGTGCGATACATTGAGAAACCGCGAGGCATGACCACAGGTGATTGTTTTGACATGCCAGCAGATGCTATGTCACAATAGCAAAACAGGCTTGGTGGCTAATCTACATGCAAAGTCAACTTTCTTCCAAATTGGTTTCTAGGGGTCACATGCATTCATGCCCAACGAGGGATGTCACACGGTCACTTGGAACAAGGACTTCGAAGGTTTCAAGAACAAGCATGAGGATGCCTCTTCGTCCTAGGCTGTCCCAGTTTAGTTGCCTTGCTTGTATGAAGTTATTGAAATTGCATCTCAAACACTTTTTTGCGGGTAGTAGTTACAGCCTCCACTGCTGTTATTGGATTTTATAAAACTTGGCACTTGAAGCTCAAAAAAAAAAAAAAAAAGGTTTTATTGAATAACACAGTGCAAGAAAGAAAGCAAAATCAAGACTGCATGTTGTGCTAGCCAATACCTGTTCAACAGCATTTTTTTTTTTATTATTATTAAATAAGGCAAGGAAGCATTTGTGGCTGGAGAACTTTGTTCTTGGATGCTCCCAGTTGTGAAGCTTTTGGCAGCTTCAGAATGGTAGCCAACACTTTTTTAAAAGACCTCAAAGCTACTAAAGAGATGGTCTCGTAGCAACATATTAGGGAGCCTTCATATATTAGGTCTGTTCGATTCGCCTGAACTGACTGAACTAGTTCAGCAGTGCAGGAACTGGCGCATTCGATTCGATTCAACCGGAAGTTGCACGGCCGCTGCACTGACGCGTTCGATTCATCCCAGTTCTGAACGAGTTCAAACCCAGTTCCTCAAAATCGTGCACCGACTCCGGAGTCAGTTCAGCATCCGTGCAGAAGCAGACGACAAGAGCAGATGGCGATAGCAGACTACACTCCTCCTCTGTCTCTGCTCACGGTGCCATTTTTCGCAGCTCTTGCTTAAATGTTTGCGATGTTTAACAATCACGCCGATACGGAGGTTGTATTTCCTCTCATTTATGATACTAATGTACCCGCGGTGGGCGCGGAATTTAGATCATAACCGAGGGTAGGAATTTGCTTGATTATGATATTCTGAAAGCGTTTTAGGCACCTGCTCGCGTAGGTTTGGCTCCCTGTGGTAAGTGTTGAAATATTGGCTCGCGTTAATTGTTTCTTTTTGATGCTATGTAGAGATCCACAGTGTTGATATTCTTTCTTACAGACACGGGAAAGGTATTGCACTCTTGATAGTCCCCGCCTTCAGTTGCTCTTGGATGCATACTGACGACTCCGATACATTGCAGGGGTCTGGAATTTAGTACATTGGCCCTCGCATGCCCCCTAGCTGAGCATAATACTGCATGCTTTGTCCGCTGGTATCTGTGGACGCCCACTAATGGGCCTGAGAAAAACGTTGAGAATCGGCATTGGCTTGGTAGTTCCACGCAGGTCTTTCTTGAGAATCAGAATAAACGCTTCAGCTTGACGCCAAAATTACGGCCGATAACTGTCTTGGCCAAAACGCTATCATCAGGCCTTCGTCTTCGAGGTGACCACTACCGACCACGCGCTGCCGCCAGTGACTCCCGACGCGAAATCATCCTGATGCCGTGAACCTATCGTCGAAATGCGAAAATCGAGAGACTTAAAATGAATCTACTATTGCTAAATGAATGTGAAGGACACGAACGCTCACGGAAACGACAGGAACCGAACGGCCGTTAAAAATGCATTCAGAAACATTTCGTGCAGAAAACGTTTTTAGTACACTCGAATAAAAAAATTTTCACAAAAAAGATTCCGTTATTATACTTCAAAACTAAGGAAACATGAATGGTCTCATCAAACCGCGACTAATTAAATGTAGCATACAACGTGGCGTGGAGAAACAAGAGCCAACAGATGCAGACGACACCCTGCGCTTCCGCTCGGAACGCCGATCACAGCGCCAGTCCTAGCGCGGCGGCTGCACTGGTTTTGCGCCGCCGCTGCACGACTCCTGCACTCGTCCGAACTTGGACAGAACTAGTTCAGAACTTTCTGGCCGAATCGAACAGACCTATTGTTTCCACCATCCTGCAAAGGTCTCTGCAACCCACTCCAATCTCGGGAACCCTGCAAACAATCCTAAGTGCCCTGCCGAACTCTGACGCAGCACTCTCGTCCAATCGTTCTGTGGTTAGGCCATTCCAAAGTTACCCATTTTGGCCACCAGTCGCGCTGACTAGCAGCCGACTGAGTCGCCGTCTGTTCATAGTGGCATTTCAATGTGGAGAGCTCGACAAATGGGGAAAATGGTTTACAAAACCTCCCGATTTGCCATTCTGAAGCCCCCAAGAGATTCCTTTTACAATTGTATATTTCCATTATACACACCATTTTTCTTAACACTCCCATGTTGAATGTTAACTTCCTTTCCTTTCAAATTTTTAAGCAACGGAAGACTATGGAAATATTGCTTTCCTGTTTCATGCCCCACAAGTTGTGCGACCCCAGTATGATCTTGTGACTAAATGTTTGGAAATTAAAAGGACAGTGAAGCTGTTCGCTATTTGAAAGAAAACACTTGATTGTTCTTTATTTGGCTTCCAGAATCACGAGTATTATATTAACCATTTAATGTGTAAATTAAAACATTTCCTTCAAAAGAAAAAAAAAAAATTCCCCTCTGATCTTATGTCGCATAACGAACTGACAAAAAAAATGTTGCAATTATACATTTTCAGATGAGTGACATTGTCTCCGAAATTTATTGCACCCGCAGTGCTTGCGTCTGCTGGTAGCATGCATATTCCACAACTCATTCCTGAATTTCACAAATGTTGGAGGTGACTAGGGGTATAAAGTGCCTAGGACTGCAGAGCAATAATTACCTATACACCAATGTTTACAAATTCCACAGCCCACCATGCGCATGTTTGTGGCTTGGCAAAGCGAGTTCATTGCGCGCCATACTCATGAATGCTCAAAATGGCACCAGTTGGAGGTCCGTTTTTGGAAAGTACTATAGGTGCTTGTCCTGTACCTAACAGAACAAGATGCCTTGGATACAATTTCTAATAACATTTTAACCATGAGAAGTGACTTAAGTTACTTTTCTGCAGATAGTTTTAGAGAATCTCCAGCCAAATGAGGCTCGCAGGAGGGGGTCTAAAACGGTGGATTCATACCCAGACACTGGCTCTGATGTTTCCTACCATAAACGTTTCATCCCAAGCTAGGCCAAGGGTGACAATCAAGATGGTGTCTGTATGATATATCTGGGACAATGGGTCTTTGTACAAGGCACCTTGAGATAAGGAGAGTGACTCTGGCAGAAGGGCTAGGCACCTCCATCTAAGGCTAAGTACCACCATCTAAGGAGACGATTTACAACAATTATCTCTCCGATTGCTTTATTCGGCGCCATCTGTAGATCTGATGTACACCGTTTCCAAAGGTTCTGGGATGGAAGTGCGACTTTAGTGTACTGTAGATTCATTATTTTATTTTTTAAAGGGGCGATGCAACAAATTTTCTACTTTAAATAAGTACAGCTTAGGATTATTCCCAGATATTTATTACCGAAGAAACATAGGCTGCTTTTTATCTCTACGCAGTGACAGCTGCAGAAAAAATTCGAGAAAAACGAACACCGTTTACCCCTCAACTCGCAGTCAGAGAAGGCAGCCACGTGAACCGGAGCGGATTATATGCCGCCATTATTTTTAACATAGCCACGCGCTAGGGTTGGCAGAGCACAGGGCGCACGCTGAGTTTCAAGCATTGTTGAGGTTCGGCTATTTCCGTCCTCCCAGCGATTGGGCACGAGCCACCACCTGAATACATGTCGAGACATTGATTGTCACGAGCCAAAATCGAATGCCTATGCAGCCTTTGTGTCCACTGTATCAGCAGCATTTAAATATTGTCACAGTGGCGATCGCATAACTTGATGACGCATGCCAGGGGATCGCATTTTTGGCATTGTCCCCACAGCTCCGTCATCAAGTTTTCTGCATGCAAGACTGCAAGAAAAGGTCCGCTTCTATCCTTGAAATTCCACCGCGACAAAGACGCTTCTTGGTCAGTGGCGTTGCGTTTGAGTATTCTTGGGTCCCACTAGTGCTAGTAAGACGCTGTAAAGTGAAAAACGTTCCTGCCCAATATTGTTGCACAGCCCCTTTAAAGGGATGGTGAACCGAAATTTGGATTTCGAAATAACAATGCAGGAGATGTAGGTGGGACGCTACAATCCCTACAACACTACTCGTAACGCGATAGCTCGAATGAACGGCCGTATTGTTTGGAAAAAGAGGTTGAGATTGAACCAGGCCGACGAGGCGCGTGACGTGAAGATATCTTGTTTCCCCCTCTCTTCGCTTCGCCCTCTCAAGGCAGCGAGGTGGAGAAGGCGCGAGGCCATTCCCTCTCCTTCTCGGAGAAACAAGACGTAAACATATCAGTCGGATGCGCCTCCTTTTTTGAAACGTACGGCCATCCGTTTGAGATATCGCTATACGAGTGCTGTTTTGGGTGTTTGTAGCATCCCATTGCACGCTTTTGCCGCGTGTTTTGTGTCCTCTCCAATTTTTAACTGCTAAAATGCCGCGCTCGCAAATAAGCTGCACAATAATTCTTACGAAGTTGGTTTTTATTTGTGGGCACTTACACACGTTGATGAATGTTGACAGAACTACCTTATAAAAAAAAAAAAATACATCTTGAATGAACAAAGTACTTTTGAAGTACCATAATTTCCGGAATATAGTCTGCGGACTTTACATGTGTAAAAGTTGAAATTTTACCCTATGCGGATTATCTACAAGTGAGGACTGTAAGAGGATTTATTGTTTTCTAGATTATTCACTTTAATAAGACATGCTGGATTCTATGAATAACGAAGTATATTAATGTTGATTTATGTATGATACAAGCTTCTTTGTGAGTTAATACAGCAGGCATTTGTCAAGGTGCTGTGTATGATAATTTTTATGTTCGGACTAGGCACTAAGTGTGGACTGTGCACCGGGACTATCTAAGCAAAAACTTTTCTGACCCCTAATTTGCCCCTGTGGACTATACACAGGGTGCACACCATGGTCCGGAGAATACGGTAACTATTTTAATAGAGGTAACTAACCATGCCTGAGGTAGATTTCGATGCAACTTTTTCAATGGAGATGACATGACACCAGCCAGTTAAACCCGCACAAAAGCCAGTGAGCTGGAGACATCACGGCTGGCTGTCCTCTCTTTCTTTCTTCAGGTTAGCAGTATTTTTAGTACTAGCAGTTGTCCTATATGGACTGACCAGTCAAAAATATGTTGCCATTCACCCTAAACCCCAATGTTTCAAGAACCACTTCAGCTTCCCTTTACCACAGTGCCTTGTACCCATAGCACAAGTGGGTACAAGGGTCGTATATGCCTTCTATCAATATGCCTGCTACATTTTTTCCCTCTTTGCACTTAGAGAAACGGCAATAAATTTTATCAGCTTTTAGTTGTATATTGAACCAAGATGGAAAACATGGAACTCTCCAGAAATTACGTGCTCATGACACTTGCTGCAGAAAGTGTTTTCACATAATATTGCTTTTATGTTACAAAACACTAGTAATCCTTGGCAGATAACCACCAGCATGATTGAATGCACTGCACAAATGCACTGCACAACTGTATACCATAAAATACCGGACAAGCGCCCATTCAAAATTTCGAGATAATCGTGAAAAAATGGGGGATGGGCGCTTGTCTGTTCATCAATTTTACATATTAAAGGACCCATGAAACGAATTTTGGGATGGAGTAAATCAATTTATATTGGGATTTTACTAATAGCACATCGTTCAGTGGGCCAAAAGAACAAAGGTAGAAAGTCAGAAGCCTGACTTTCGCTACGAAAATTTGCAAGACATAGCGGACTATTTCGTACCTCCTTCCCTTCGTAAACTCTCCGCCTTTTCACTGTGATACATCCGCGGACCCCGCAGCGCGTCACCGGGCTACTAGCCACCATAACCGGGCCCCCGCAGCGCGTCACCGGGACCCAAGCGCACGTCACACGACACCGGACCTCACTTAATCCCTTTACCCCTAAGCTGACATTGCGGTGGAAGCTACGCGCTTACCGGACCAATCAGCCGCCTCCCTTTCATCACCTGACCTCATTCTCTGCGGGTCGGTATGCGCGAGAGAGCGTGATCACGTGGAAAATGTGTGGCTGGCCCAACAAGCACGTAGCTTCCACAGCACTGTCAGCTTCGGGGTGAACGGGGTGGGGAAAGCAACTAGTCGGAATTTTGAGCGACGGGCTAATCTTCTAGGGGGACAATGGCTGTGTCCGGCTACACAAGCGAGATTCCGAGCAAGAGGGGACTCCCCCCTTTCCGACTTCTTGAACTGTTTGGTACAATGCGCGATTTATGAGTTGAGGAGAAAAGCTAAACAGAAAAAAGTTGAAAAAGCGTTTCATGGCTCCTTTAATCACCTGTGCAGTTTCTCATCTTAGACATTTGGAAATGAGCATTTAATGTGGAATGGGTGGATGCGCGTCATTCTACGGTATATAGTACTATTATAGTACTTGTTTTCTTTCATGTTCATTTTACTGTTGCAAGTAGCAATTTTTCCTGCAAGTGGTCAACCTGTGTACAAACACAATATCACTCTGGTTGGTAGCATCGTGCTCTAGAGCTATCGTGGACTCTTGGTGACTGACTGAGTCAACCATGCTGCCTGCTCTATTTCATCTTTGTAGGATCTGCAATTCACTGCACAGGAGCCGCCACTTTGTGACCTTTGTTGTGTATGCGATACTTGCCAATTAAAACCTCATGACAGCTTTCTGTGGTGTCACTGCCACTGCATGATGCTTGAGCAGGTGTTCCCTTAGAACGGAAAGTTTGAAGAACTTGGTCCCACAGTAGACGCAGGCGTGTCGTGCCTTCATGAGCTTCAGGAAGCCTTGGTGCCTCAGTCGGACATGCTCGTCTATCTGATATCCATGCTGGAACTTCATCCCACAAAGGGCACATAAGTAGCGCAGGACACTGTGGCTGCCTTTGGCGCGACATCTGTCCGACAGCGCCGACTTCCTCGCCACCATGTCCCCTGTCGGACTCTCTCCCGCTATCTTCTGCAACTCCCTGATCAACTCGTCAAACTCAAACGATCGTGGGATTGTTTCGTTAAACCGCAGCTTGTTGTAGGGCAGTCGTGGCCCCGGGCCGCAGTAGGACTCTGACTTGCTGTCAAGTGCCAAGGATGAAGATGCCACTCCATCTTTTTGCAGATTGGCATAGGGAGACCTCTTTGTGCGGGGCTTTGGGTTGCCGACAATGCCCATGAAGATAGGATAGAAATCTCCGTCCTCCCATATAGCATGCTGCTGGATATGAGCAATGAGCAGGTCTGCTGACGCGTAGCGCATGGCGCAAAAAGCGCACGCAAACCGAAGACGGCTAATGTCGTCCGCCTCCGTGTGGTTGTTGTCGAGGTGCTGACGAAGCCCCGCGTGACTGCCAAAACGCAGCGGGCAGAGGAAGCACTGGAGGCCGAAGTTTTCTGTGCTCTGCAGGATGCTGCATGGTTTGAGAGCAGGGCTCGGGATGCACATGTCCTCCGGTGCATGGCTCCACGTGTGAATGCACAGAAGGATGTAGTGGCTGAAGATAGCTTCGCAGGTCGGGCACCGGAACTGGCACCGCCTTGCTTGTCCTACGGGAGGCACCTTGTGCCCAGGTGTCGAGCCCCCGCAGACTTTGGCAGGGAGCAGGAAACGAACCATTTTGGAAGCAGACATGGCCGACCTTTTAGAGTGTCGCCTCTTTTGTCTCCGTGGGGCCTGAGCATAAGAAAATGAGCAAAACAAGACTGAAGGCAAAGTAAGCAAGCAGGGCTAAGTATTTGAAACCGGAGTCGACCCCGCTTTCAAATATGTGCGAGCAAAAGAAGCATTCTCTGCTTACGTGTGTCTGGTTCAGAGCTAGCTGTACCGGAACGTGGCACAAAAATAAAAATAAAACGTATTTGGTCTGTCGAATTACTTTTATATCGCTTTTTGCTGAAACAGCACAGGCTGTAAGTAAAAGTGAGAACATTTTCCCCAGAATTGTCCTGTGGACACCATCCAGAGACAGTAGCTTTTCACACGAAAGTACACGCCCTGCCGCCTTGCTCCGATGAACTACATAACGCATTCGGCATGGTTCGGACCTCGAGCACGCCGCAAAATACACTGCGCTCAAAAACTTCCCCTTGTGGTGGCAGGAGCGAGTTGCGGTGTGCCGATATCCCCATCGAACCACTCGAATTTCCATCTCTTGAGATACGCGGAGTGTCAGGATTGCAGCGAGAAAAATGCCTCACCAGTTCACTCGAAGTTGGTTGAAACAGGTGACACCCCCAAACTGCCGAAACTCCCGGCCTCTTGAGTCTCAATTCAAAATTATCACCACACCGGACATCGGCAACACCGATTCAAATTTGACCTCCGCGCATCGTTGTTTTCTTTTCTATGAGGCGGTGTCTCTCAGGGTTGCCAGGTAGTTTCTACCTCAAACCGCCAAAAGCTAGACGGTGTAGCCCAAAAGTAGCCAAATGCAAGATATTTATGTAGCCCAAAAGTAGCCATATTCTGCCTATGTATTCTGCAGAGCCCAAAAAATTGTGCGCTCGAATGTGCGAGCTCAATTCGTAGACACTGCGTCTGCATATCTAGGGTTTAGGAGCAGCTTGCAAGATCTACGACAGCTTAAAATGTATTGAACATTTTATTTCAAACACAAAAGTACAAAAACTTTTCCACGCGTGTTTTTGCAGTCACATAGCTATGAAGCACTCGCTCGTGCCCAGCTTACTGGCCTCATACATGATTTTCGTGTTAAAACGGGCAAAAACTTCTTCAGTGCGGTTGATGCCCTTACAGAACTCGTTCTTCCCCAGGAAAGCAAACTTTACATAAAGGACGTTTTGAAAAGTTGGAAATGACATGTTCTTCCTTAGGCTTGATTTTGAGAGGGAGATGTGGCTGAATACTCTCTCCACGGCGGCATTCGACATGGGCAGTGTCGGGAGCGCGATGGCAAGCTCGGATAGCAACGGAAACAGGGCTGCTCCTGCCCATTGATCTTGGCTTTGGTCGAAATATTCATTGTCCCAAATCTGTTGTCTTTTGTTGTGGCTCACTCTGCTTTAAGGAACTTCCATGTTTCGTGGAAAAGCCTCCTTTTGTTAAATCCGGTACAGCAAGCGTTATCGGGTGACATAAAATACTGCAGGATGTCTTGAGTTGTCTTAAGTATCATTTTTTCTCAGATGAGGTGCGTCCTGTAGGGGGATGGTTGGAAGCTCGAGGAAATAAGAGACGCCAGTAGGAAGCACAAAGAACTTGGAGGCAAAAAATAAGAGACGCCAGTAGGAAGCACAAAGAACTTGGAGGCAAAAAATAAGCGACAATTAATGCAAAAGCGATGTCGTCGGAGCTGAATCTAGGTCACGGTAGCTCACTTGAGCTAATAGGTTCTGACATCACGCCCACGAATCTTCAGGCAGAAAATCCCTGTAAGCGGGAATCCAGAAAGGGTGGACTGTCGCTTTGTGTTCATGCGGAAACGTCTTTTGTACATCTACTCTAAACCAAGCAAAAAAAAAAAAAAAAAAGGGCCGTGTTAGCATTTGAAATAGCCAAAAAATAGCCATATAGCCAACCGACAAATTTCGACGCCAAATGCATGACAAAGTAGCCCAATTTGGCTATTAATAGCCCAACCTGGCAACCCTGGTGTCTCTCCGCGGCCTCCGCGGGGAGGCGCTCTCTACAGTGGAATCATAACCAGTGGTCCCACTCAAGGCCACTTCCGGTAATCGCGCATACACAGCGCTCCTCAAGCCGGATGGCGACAACTGAAGTTGTCAAACAAAAACAAACAAAAAAACAGGGTCAAAAAGAATCGCAATTGACTAAATTGAGTGCGTTAATGTTAATATTTTTAGAAAACATAATAAGCTAGGTGATAATGATAAACCAATATGGAAAGAAAAAATCGAGCAGTTACCGTTAGCTTCAAAAAGTTCATTGCCCTAACCGAAGCCATGTCGCCGGTCGCGTTGTCGGTGTTGCTGTTCTGCGAATTTCTCTTTCCTAGTACATTTCCCTTTCGGTTGGATCCTCGCTTGGCGTTTTAATGTCACGTGAGTTACCGAATCGCGCTATGAATGTGTTCTAAATGGGCCTGCTCAGGCAAGAAGCCAAAAAGCCGGGGACTCACTTCGCCGTAGATTCCGGGATTCCGCTTCAAGTTCGTTGCTGGTGAGTGCAAACATTTTAAAGTGCTCGTGCTGTCCTTCGCGTCAGGCCATGGCACGATCGTCTTTTCTCCAACGCAGTGTATGTGACTCGATTAATTTCTTAATCGTATGTACGTCGGACGTGACTTGTAGAACGGTCGAACGTAATGAATTGCTTGTTCACGCGCAACCTCCACGTATCGAAACTTTCACGCCACTTTACTGGAAAAATATAAATATTGTGGCATATGACGCGGATCAGGACCGAACCTTGGATTTGCTAATGTGTAAAATCATAAAAAAGAAGTTGGCATCATAGCATAAGATATAAAAAACAAAACAAAAAAACACGCAACATTATAAAAAGTGATTTTACCACTTGTTATATATTTGCATTTGGCTAAGCAAGTTGACTGGGTACATTGAACATAATTCTGAATTAACTAGTCAGATGGATGTCCCTTGAAGGGAATTAACGGGAAGGCACCTCCAAAAAAAGTGTTGCTCAAACATGCCAATTTCCTGAATTCACACCTGTCTTCTTTCTCTCGTCAGGATACCCAGTGGGTATGGCAGCGTGTGGCACCTGTCGTTCAGCATGCGTCAAGACCCCTCCTCCCCCCGTCAAGCTCCAGACATTATTTATCTCCGCTTGGCATGTCATGCAGTAAGACCCACAGCTACTTATCTAATTTAGAAGTATAAGCAGGGACAGATCCAAGGGGGGGCGACGGGGGCGGCCCCCCCCCCCTCCCCCCATCTCGGAGGGCAATTTGACATGGCTGGACCCCCCGGTGCACACGAAAGAAGGGGAGAATAGCATCCTTACAAACTTTCTGCCCCCCCCCCCCCCCCCCCCCCTCCCTTCCTCCCCAAACGGAGTTCTGGATCTGCCCCTGAGTATAAGGTGTGTCTCGCTTCGTCCATTCACTGTATACTGTTACTTTCTTGTTCCAGTACAATGGTTCCTCGGAGAATCACAGAGAATACCACGAGGGCGACAAACATGTGGAGGCAAGCTGCAAGGGCCGGACACCAGAGACAAGGACCATCAGTAACCTGGGGGATGAAGTGAGGAAACTGAAGAGGCAGCTCATCATCTGGGCCACAAGAAGAAAATCGGAGACCGTACGCTGGGAAATTTGTCGACCCTCATCCTTGGGTGGCATGAGCATTTTCTGGTCATATTCGTACGTGAGGTGAACTGTTACTGGAACTAGGTTGACTCATCCTTCTGCAGCTTACAGGGCATTACCAAAGCTACGGCACCAACGAGACAACCGGAACATTTGGCTGAGGGACGGGACAACATATTGTGGGAGTATACACCTCCTACGGAGAGCTCTCACAAAACTTGCTTCGTTGCTCTGATTAGCTCCAAAGGGCGGCAGTGCTTTTCTTTGTAAAATTAGGCTGAAACAGATTATAGCTGTAATAGGGCCACCGAAATTGACATTGCGGCATAACATTCCTCATGAGGGTTCTGGGCATCTATTCTATGATCTCTTATGCAGTTATGAATGTCGCAGCCACAAGTGGTCACTTGACAATAATCTGCGACTCGTCATATAACAAACTGTGTAAATGGTTGGGTAAGTGCACTAAAGGTAGTTCTGCATATCTGGGAAAAAACAGTGGCTGGGAGGGCTCTAGCTCTTACTAAAGTGGCGAAGCGGGCGAGTTGGTTCATGATATAAAAATTTAAAAGCGCTAAATGTTCAGTTGAGAGTAAGCGCTCGTCCTGTTCGCCTTCTTTTTTGTCCTCGTCTTTCTTAGCGCTTTTAAATTTTATCTCTAGCTCTTCCTCATCACAATCTGTCTTAGGGACCAGCACGACAACCACAGCTGGTTGTCGTGCCAGTAGACCTCGTTCTGAAGTCACCGGAAGAAAACAACAATAACCGGTTGCTGCCATCATGTTGTGTTAGCCAGTGGTCAAGAAACAAGATTTTTTCTCTTGAGCTTGGACAAAGTGTTCTTCAATTAGTTTTCTCAAAGCCCCTTTGACACACAATGCACACATAACCTAGCTCAGTGGGACACCCTACCTGTTAGTAGTGTTTCCAGTTTGCGCTAAATCACGAAAAGAGCCCTTGAAGAATAAGGTAGTGTGAAAAAAGTAAATTTTTAATTCCTCATGCTGGAGATTCCCATCTGTTGGAGTTTGGATAGAAACAAGCTGTGGTCTGCACTGTTAAAAGCCTTTCTGAAGTCTAACTGGACGATCTCACACGGAGTTCGGTTGTCGAGGCTGGTGCTGAGTGCATAAGTGAAAGCTGCAAGGGCCGATTCGCAGCTCCTGCCGGGCGGAAACCATATTGTCGGGGGCTCCATTGTTTGGTTTAGCCATCGCAAGCCTTCGGACGGAGAACGTCGTAGCAGTTGTCTGTGTCGCGAACTCAAGCCGAGTTTAGATAAAGTTATATGTGCCGGAACTAGTCCTGGGTACTGCCTCTCGTACCCAACGTCGGGCACACATATAACTTTATCCTAAACTCGGCTAGTTCGCGACACAGACAACTGCTACAACGTTCTCCGTCCGAAGGCTTGCGATGG